ATTTGCCTTCTTTTTCTTCTTTCCCTCATCCCAGTTGTTCCTTCGAGAAATTTCTTTCCCTTTCATATCATCTATTGTATGTTTTGAGTTTTACTTACTCTTTCAGGTTCCTACAGGGGACACAATAGGATGTTTACACATGTGGGTCCAATTTATTTCACTTATGAGTATGGTCTCTAGTTGCATCCATTTACCTACAAAAGCCTTGAGTTTATCTTTTCCTATAGCTGAGTGATACTCCATTGTATAAAAAAAACGCATCTTTTTATCCATTCTTCAGTTGATGGGCATTTGGGTTGTTTCCAAGATTTAGCTAGAACAAATTGTGCTGCTATAAACATGGGTGCACATATATCGCTGTGGTATGTTTTTAATTCTTCTGGGAAAATACCAGAAGGGGAATAGCTGGGTTAAGTGGGACTTCTAATCCCAGTTTTCTGAGGAATCTCCAAACTGATTTTCACAGTGGTTTCACCAATCTACACTCCCACCAACAGTGGAGAAGGCTTCCTTTTTCCCCACAGCCTCTCCAGCATTTGTTATGGGTTGATTTCTTGATGATAGCCATTATTTCTGGGGTGAGATGGAATCTCAGTGTTGTTTTAATTTGCATTTCTCAAATGACTAATGATATGGAACATTTTTTCATGTATTTATTCACCATTAGTATTTCTTCATCTGAGAAGTGTGTATTCATCTCAGATGCCCATTTTTGGATTGGGTCCTTCAATTTTGGGGGCCTGATTTTTTAAAAAATTCTTTATATGTTCTAGATAGACGTCCTTTGTCTGAAGGGCAGTTGGCTAAAACTTTTTCCCAATTCATGGATTTTCTTTTACTCTGTTGTGATTTCTTTTGATGTGCAAAAACTTTTCAATAAAATGAGATCCCAGTTGTTGATTCTTTGAAGCATTTCCCATGCAGATTGGTTTTTGTTCATGAACTTGAACTCTCTGCCTACCCCTATAGCTTCAAGATTTTTACGTACTTTCTCTTCCAATAGATTTAGTGCTTCTGTTTTAATATTTAGATCTCTGATCCATTTTGACTTCAGTTTAGTGCATGGTGAGAGACACGGGTCTAGTTTTAGTCTTTGGTGTGTGGAAAGCCAGTTTTTCCAGCACCATTTATTAAAGAGGCTATCTTTCTTCCAGTGAACATGTTTGTCCCCTTTGTCAAAGATGACTAAGTGTGTTTGTAGTTGTGTCTGCATCTTCTAATCTGTTCCATTGATCTTCAGTCTGTTTTTTTGCCAGTACCATGCTGATTTAATTACAGTAGCTTTGCAGTATAATTTCAAGTCAGGAATTGTGATGCCTCCTGCCTTTCCTTTGTTTCCAGGATTGCTTTTGCTAGTCTAGGCTTCTTCTGGTTCCAGATGAATTTTAGGAATGTTTTCTCTAGATCTGTGAGGTATATTAATGGTATTTTAATTGGGATTGCATTGAATCTGTACAACAATTTTGGGAATATGGCCATTTTCATAATGTTAGTTCTTCCTATCCATGAACAAGGAGTATCTTTCCATTTTTTTTTCTTTCTTTTTTTTTTGGTCTTTTTGAGACAAGGTCTTGCTGTGTAGTTCAGGCTGGCCTTGAGCTCATTTTGTAACCCAGGCTGGTCTCAAACTCACAATGATCCTCCTGCCTCAGCCTCCTGAGTGCTGGGATTACAGGCGTGTGCCAACACACCTGGCCTATCTTTCCATTTTTTGATGTCCTCTTTGATCTCTTTCTTCAGAGTACTATAATTTTCACTGTTAGATCTTTTACTTCTTTTGTTAGATTGATTCTTAAGTATTTCATCTTTTTAGGTACTACTGTCAAAGGTGCGGTTTCCCTAATTTCTCTCTCAGTCTATTTGTTGTTTGTGTACTGGGATTCTATTGATTTTTTTAAGTGTTGACTTTGTATCCAGCTACACTACTGAATTTGGTTATTAAATCTGTAAGCCTTTTGGTCAAGTTGGGGGTCTTCTATGTAGAGTATCATGTCATCTGTGAATAATGATAATTTCACTTCTTCCTTTGCTGTCCTTATTCGTCTTATTTCTCTCTCTTGTCTAGTTGCTCTGGCTAATACTTCCAGAACTATACTGAATAGGAGTGGTGACAGTGGACATTACTTGTCTTGTTCCTGATTTTAAAAGTGAAAGCTTTCAGTTTTTGACCATTTAGAATGACGTTAGCTGTTGGGTTGTCACAGATGGCTTTTATCAGATTGAGGTAAAGTCCATCTATGCTAATTTTCTGTAGGGTTTGTATCATGAATAAGTGTTGGACTTTATCAGAAGTTTTTTCTGCATATACTGAGATGATCATGTGATTTTTGTCTCTGGCTCTATTAGTATGGTGTATTACATTAATTGATTTGCATATATTGAGCCATCCCTGCATTCCTGGAATGAATCCCACTTGGTCATGGTGTATAATCTTCTTGATTTGTTGCATTGTTTGCCAGGGTCTCACTGAGGATTTTTGTGTCTATATTCATTAGGGAGATTGGCCTGTAGTTCTCCTTTTTGGTTGGATCTTTCTCTGGTTTTGGTATCAGGATAATACTTGCCAAAAAAAAAAAAAAAAAAAAAAAGGATAACACTTGCCTCCAGGAATGAGTTGGGGATAATTCCTTGCCTTTCAATTTCATTGAAGAGTTTAAGAAGAATTGGTGATAAAATTCTCTAAATTTCTTGTGGAATTCAGCTGTGAATCCATTAAGACCTGGGCTTTTCTTTATTGGCAAGTTTTTTTGTTTGTTTCTGGTACCAGAAATTGGACTCAGGACCTTGTGCCTGTCACGCAGGCACTTGTGCTGCTAAGCTATATCCCTGGCCCCACTGGCAAGTTTTTTATTACATTCTCAATTTTTCTGGCTGATATTGAGTTATTCAGGATTTTTGTATCTTCTTCACTCACCTTTGGTAATTCATATGTGTCTAGAAATCTGTGCTTTTCCTCTGTGTTTTCCATCCTATGAGAGTAAAGATTTTCAAAGTAGGTATTGATGATCTTCTGAATTTCTACAGGATCTGCAGTGATTTCACCCCTTTCATTCCTTATTGCATGTATTTCAGTTTTTTCTTTTCTTTTTTTTTTATAAGGTTGGCTAGGGGTTTATTTTATTCATTTTTCAGTCTCCATTGTGTTAATTTCTGCCCTGAGCTTTATAATTTCCTGTCTTCTTTGGGCTTTGGGTTTGACTTGCCCTTCTTTTTCTAGAAGCTTGAGGTGCAGCACAAGATTGTTTGTGTTTTTCTGTTTTCCTGAGGTGGGAATTCACTGCTATAAATTTTCCTCTGAGGACTGCTTTCATTGCATCCCACAGGTTCTTGTAAGTTGTAGCTACATTTTCATTTGATTATAAATATCATTTAATGTCTACTTTGATTTCACCTGTGACCCACTGGTTGTTCAGGGGGGGCATTATTTAATTTCCATGTGTTTATGGAGTTTTCGTGATTTCTTTTGTCATTAATTTCCAGTTTCATTGCACTACGGTCTGATAGCATGCATGGGATAATTTCCTTTGCATTTACTTATGCATGTTCTATGTGCTAGCATATGGTCTATTTGAGAGAACGTCCCATGTGCAGCTGAGAAGAATGTGTATTCTGATGCTGTTGGATGGAACACTCTATAAAGGTCTACTAAGTCCATTTGTTCACAAGTTTGGTTAAGTTCTGTTATTTCTTTGCTCATTTTTTGTCTAGTTGATCTACCTCTTTGTGACAATGGGGTGTTAAAGTCCCCTGTTATGGTTGTGTTGCTGCTTATTTCATTTTTTCATGTCTGTTAAAATTTGTCTTATATAGCTGGTGCTCCTATATTTGGTGCGTAGACTGTTACCTCTTCCTGTTGAAGTTTTCCCTTCAAAAGTATGTCGTGACCTTCTTTAACTCTTTTGATTGTTCTTGGTTTGAAGTTCATGTTGTCTGCAAACAGAATAGCGACACCCGCTTTTTTTCTGGGTTCCTGTCATGTGGAGTATTGTTTTCAATCCTTTAATTTTCAGTCTATGAATTTCATTTTTTTTTTTTCTTTTGGTACTGGGAATTAAACTCAGGACCTTGCGCTTGCCGGGCAGGTGCTTGTGCCACTGAGCTTTTCTTTTCAGTTAAATGTGTTTTTTGTATACAGCATATAGTTGGATTTTGTTTCTTGATCTACTCTGTCAGTCTGCTTCTTTTGGTTGGTGAATTGAGACCATTTACACTGATGGTTAAAACTGATGTGTATTGGCTTATCTTTGTCATGTTATTTTCCTGCTGTTGGTTCCTCCTTTTTCCCTCTGTTTAATTGCTTGCTCTGCTTGGTGGTTCCTTTTTGTTGTTGTTCTTGAAGTTATTTTTGTCTTTTTATCTCTTTCTAGAATATCTTTTAGTACTCTTTGTAGGATTGGTTTGGTGCTCATGCATTTCTTCAGCTGTTCTCCAAAGAGCTTCTGATTATGGCTTCATCACTGGATGAGTGTGGAAGAACGTAAATTTCTCCTTTTTTATAATTTTTATTATTTTTATTTTTGGATTTTTGAGACAGAGTCTACATAGCTCAGACTGGCCTTGAACTCACTATGTAGTGCATGCTTGCCTTGAACTCATGGCAATCCTCCTGCCTCAGTCTCCTGAGGGCTGGGGCTACAGGTATATACCACCATGCTCAGTTTATAATTTCCAAAGAGCTTCTGATTATGGGTTAATCACTGAATAAGTATGGAACTGCCTAAATTTCTCTTTTTAAAGACAGTTATTTGGGTATGTACATTCTACCAAAGTTCAAAAAAGTCATAGTATGTTGAGGTAAATGATCACTTTTTTTTTTTTTTTGGTCTTTTTGAGACCGTTTCACTATGCAGTTCAGGCTGGTCTTGAACTCACTTTGAAGCCTAGGCTGGCCTTGAACTCACAATGATCCTCCTGCCTCAGCCTCCCAAGGGCTCAGATTACAGGTGTGCACCATCACACCTGGCTCGAGTATTTCTTTTTTTTTATTATTTTTTATTTTAAAGAGTAAGAGAAGGATAACAATAATGGGGGGGGGCTTGCCAAATTACAGACAGAGTGGTAGGAAATTATCAATGGTTATTGTTTTACATATTGTTTTCTACAAGATAGTTTCTCAGGAAAACAAATAGACAAATAATAGTGAGTTATAGACAAAAGAGGTAGGAGATTATCAATAGTTGTTGTACTCTACTTAGGTATCTTGAGTATTTCATTTGTATACAAGATTTTAAACCTTAAATTTGAATTACACTGAACAATAGTGGGAACATTATACAGTTAATATGTAACTACAGTCCAGTAGTATTTGGTATAGCTTACATGTAGCATGTTTTATTTTAAAACTCTGTATTGAAAATGCAGGGCTAGTCAGGCCATAGTTTAGCCCAGCAAGTTTGGTGACAGGATTAATGTCTATCTTTGCAGATACGGGAGTATGAGCAGGTCATCATTGAAGATCGCCTAGAAAAGGAGAAGACCAGGAAGAAGATGGAACAGGATGTGCTGGAACTGAAGAGTGCCATAAAGGTAGAGAACTGTAACTGGCTGGTGTCCTGGAGCCCCCAGGTCATAGCTACTCTACTGCCAAGGGACACAGCTTTTCTCATCCGTTATCAAACACAGTGGAACTTTGGAGCTGGGTGTGGTGATGCACACCCGTAATCCCAGAACTTGGAAAGCGGAGACAGGAAGATCACTGAGAATTCGAAGCCAGCCCAAACTATATAGCAAGACCCTGTCTTAGAAACCAAAACCAAAGTACACATGGCCCTTTACGATGGAGCAAACCAGCACGCAGGGCTGGCCTTTGTTCTGTCAGGTACAAGCGCAGAGCAGCTGATGTGGATAAGGAAGCAAAGGTGTGGAGTGCGAGCAAAACTGAGGGCCAGGGACGACCACCTCTGATCTAAACCAGATCTTGGCAGAGTGACTCCTGAGTATCCTGCTGCTCAAAATCCTGTTTGTAAGCCAGCCCAGGTGACCTGCTGAGGCCTGAGGGAGGTGCTTGCCAAAAAGCTGAGGGATCAAGCAGCTGGTTAGCAAAAGAGATGTTTTAGTTTTCTGTGAGCTCACCTGTTAGCAATGACGAAACTAGCAGGGGCACACACTTTGGGAAATGTTTTAAACAAAAACTATAATACTATCAGCTGGGCTGAAGCTGCTGCCTGGGAAACACCCACCCCAAGAGGTGTATCTGTGGAGACCCCAGGCAGCAAACTATAGTTTGAGTTGTAGATGAGGGGCTGGACTAAAAAAGGAAGCTCCCCCTTCTTTTTTTCATCTTTTTGAGACAGGGTTTTGCTACTAAGTTCAGGCTGGCCCTGAACTTATTATGTAGCACAGGCTGGCCTCGAACTCACAGTGATCCTCCTGCCTCAGCCTCCTGAGTGCTGGGATTACAAGTGTATGCCACCACGCCCAGCTCCTTACTTTTTACATTTTGTTATTTTATACTAACACATTCTCATACTACAAAGGCAATTTAGTGGAAGAATCTTTCAAAAAAGGTAGCTTTGACATCCACTGAGGACCAGATGTTAGCAGAGTTGGATGTATGATTAGCAAATATTTACCAAGCTTCCCTATTTTCCATTTGTCAAGATTCTTTGATTTAGGGCCAAAATCTAAGAACTGGCTGGACTACTTTTGTTTTCATTGGTGGAGTTTCTCCCAGTCTTTAAGGCTTAGGATGATTTTTGACCTTTTTTTTTTGGTACTGGTACTCAGAACCTTGTGCTTGTCAGGCAGGTGCTGTTCCGCTAAGCTATATCCTCGGCCTAGGATGATTTTCCAAGTAGCCTTGACTACATTCCTAGTCAAAGAGCTCTTTAAATTTTTTGGGGGGCGGCAGGTACCAGACATCAGACTCAGGACCTTGCACTTGCCAGGCAGGTGTGTTGCTGAGCTATATCCCCTGCCCTTTGTTTTGCTGAATTCACAATGTAGCCCAGCCTTGCCTTGAACCTGAGGTAATCTTCTGGCATCAGCCTCCAGTACTTGGATTACAGGCGTGTGCCACTGCACCTCCAGCCTTTAAATCCTTTTTGAAAGTAAGATTTAGTCAATTACTAAAGATAAGAAATGGACTAGGCAGCCTAGTGAAGCCATCTGACTAGTTCCTGCATTTTTTTGGTTGCTGTTGCTGTTTGTTTCCTCATACCGGTAACTGAACTCAGGACTTTGTGCTTGCCAGGCAGGCACTTAGGCCATGGAGCTAAATCCCCAGCCCTCGGTTCCTGAATTTCTGACTGAGTCAGGTAACTGAGATTCTCCTGGATCTTCCTAGAGGCAAGGAGTTCAAGGACGTCAGGGTTCTAAGCATGAAGGAGAACCTGGCCTCACCACATTCTCCAAGTTGTGCACACAGGGAAGCGTTACTGTAGCGACAGTGCCGGGCCACTCTGAAGTCTGAGGCTTCCGTGGGAAGGGGAGCAGCATGGCAGACACACACTAAGTGGTACTCACTTCCCCTTCCTCTTCCAGCTACAGGCCTGGTGGCGGGGCACCGTGATACGGAGGGAAATTGGAGGCTTCAAAATGCCTAAGAAGGAGAAAGATGACAGTAAGGATTCGAAAGGGAAAGACAAGGACAAACAAAAACGAAGAGGTAAGAAGTGACCTAATTACCTCCTGTCCTTGCTGCTGGAATTCTGAAGACTGGAAGCATCACAGAGAACTCATCTACGAGTTACTTCTTTGGACATTACCAGGTAAAACCTGGAGATTTCACCTGAACTAGGACTACACCATTGCTTTAGGCTTGCCTCATACATTGGACTTTGCTTAGAAGAAGTATTTTTAGCAGTCTATTCCTCTTGCACTTTCTTAACAGAAAAACTCTTGGGTGTATCTGATTCTATCTAATTACACAATAAATTTTAACAAATGCTTGTTCCTGCCTTTTCGATTAGTGTTTTTATTGGGGGAGGGTGGCAGAATATTCATATACTGCTCCAGCAACATTCTGGGGTATAAATTATAGACAAGCTAGAAATGGGGTGTTAGGATACATGGCTCACACATGGTAAAGATGACACACAGGTTCTCTGGAAGGCTAGCTTGGAGTTGGTTTTTTTTTTTTGTTTTTTGTTTTTGAGACAGGGTCTTTCTATGTAGTTCAGGCTATCCTTGAATTTGTGGTGATCCTCCTGCTTCAGTGTCCCAAGTGCTGGGATTACAGGCATGAACCACCGTGCTGGTTTAAAATTTGGAGATATTTTCAACAAGACACAACTATTCCCACCTTGTGGCGTATTAAGACTGGAGGAGGGCTGGCATATGAAAATACTTCCCAATGCCAGGAACACAGCACAGCTGTGTCATTCCGCTTCCCTTATACAACAACCCCCCCAGGTCATGCTTGCCCTGATCAACCAAAACAATGTCTAGGGATGCTAATGCTTTCTCTAAAGCACAGCTGGAAACTTCTGAGAGAAAAGCTGTTCGCAAGTGTCACATTTATTTCATGATAAGACCTCTATTCAACTTCAACTACAGGGCAATCTTGCTATCTGTACTTCTTTAAACTCGAAGGGCTGTTTTAGTAAAATTACAGTAGTATCCTCTGGTGTTGCTTCAGTGAGTTAGATATCCCATCCTTGGCTGCCTGGCTAAGGAAACTATAGTTTAGATATGAACATTTCCAAACATTCATTACATGCTACTGAAGTGTTGGCTTTATTTTAATGTCAATGTGTAAGGTGGCATACAGGCAACTTCAAATAGCGTACATGATACTGACATTTATACTTAAACTTATGCAATATATTTACAGACACATACAAATATAGGACAATGTTTTACAAAATCTTTTACTAATTACATGTTTATAACATTTTCAGAATAAAATGAATCTGCTGTAAACCAGCTCACTGCAACATATAAATAAAAGGCTCCTACTATCCATGTTTTCCTTCATTTCTAGACCCACTTAAGCACTTAAGTTTTTCAAATTCATCAGATTCGTCAGCATAGTCCCACATCATTAGTTGCTGCTGACGGTAGGAAGCAAGATAAATTACAGACTCTGTGATTAGCTGTGCGGTGCATTTTAAGAAGCTGTTAAGAAGAGTGACCTCCTGCTATGCCTTCTCTTCTGTTCCAGCCAGATACCCAGGCCTCCTCCTGTGAAGTTTCCAGACCTGGTTATTAAGGAGAATGCTGGTTTGCAGTGTGCAGCAGACGCATTTGAAGGCCTGGAAACTGCTGACGGGAAATCGCTGTAGGTGGCAGGGGCTGCCCAGGGCACCGAGCCTGTTGGTGTTGACACTCTCAGTGCCGGGGGGGGGGGGGGGTGTTCCTTCTTCCCGCCCAGGGCAAGTGTGACCAGGCCACGTTCACCATACACATCTAGCAAGCCTAAATGTTAAATGGAATTGTTCCAGTTTTTTTAAAAAAAGGTATATAGGTATGGTACATACAAAACACTGAATACCAACATTCTCCAACAAAAGCATTATGATCTTTCTTTTGAGACAGGGTCTCACTGTGTAGTTCAGGCTGGCCTCACTGACAGAAAGAATTCAATATATCTGATATTTTTCTTTTACTATTAGCCAAAACTGGACACAAAATTTTTTTCTAACAATTCAAACACAAATTTGAATTAGCTTGACAAAAATACATTAAGGTTTCATATTAAGTATAAAATTTAAGATAAACTGAAATTCCCACTTATTCCTGTATAAAAATGAGATATAGTCAGTGTTGCATTCTGTAATGCATTCTGGAGTCATTCCCCACATGTTATATTACAACGCATAAGCTGGAGATTTTACTGAGGTTTAATGCTGACTAGAAGGAAAAATATCTAGTTAAAAAAGTACTGCTAAATTCTAACCAAGTTATATGGTTGGCGGGTGTGCTTGGACCTGTGAAAGTAGTGGGTCTGGCTCTAAGTGTTTATAAACATTTTATTTTCATTCTGTGAGGACTTTAAGGATTGGGCTTTCAGCTCAGATGTTAATGTTATAATGTTAAACTTGAACGAAGTGGTAAGGTTCTAATGAAAAGTTTACCCTGCAAGAACACGGAGAAAACATTATTTCAGATAATTAGAATGACTTCGTCCAAAGTACTGAGATGCGGCATTTACCAATGCGTACTCTACTTGGTTTACAAAGGCAGTGAACACCAAAAGCTATGACTGACAACTAAAAAGGTACACGGTTTAAACTTGGTAAAGGCTCCGCCCTTGTACCCTGTGAGCCCTCAGCCCTTTGCTCGCCGCAGCTGGGCAGAGAGGGCACTGGGGATAGAGCCTGTGGTGGGGAGATGGAGAGGACAGTTCCTAGGAAGCCCTAAGCGCTCTCACCCCACCAGGTCCTAGAGGTTACCTGACAGGTACAGGAAACCTGGCTTCCTTTGGCCCCTCTTGCTTGCTCTCCCTCATCTCCCACTGGCCGGGGAGCTAAGTGTCTGTAAGGGCTGGAATGCGCCTGCGGGCCCAGGGATCCTGGGAGCAGCTTGGGGGGGAGGCGGCGCCCCGAAGCCAGCACACAGCGGGCTGCTCCAGGGCCATCCTCTAGCAGGAAGATGATGCAGAGGTGACTGGAATCACAGAGCATCCGGAACACTGCTTTAGATACAACTCCACCTGCCCTACTGTGCACAGTCTAGGTTTGCTGTAGTATTCTTGCTTTACCTTTGACAAACAGGCCGCGTCACCCTAACATGGATTTTGATTTTAAATGTGGCTGAACTGCAGTGGAGGCAGTGTCCCCAACATGGCAAATGCAGCCTGAAGCTGCATGAAGCCACCAGGAAGGATGCGGATATGGATCCCTAGGCCTCACCCCAGCTCCACTGAGTGCAAACCTGCAAATGCTCGGGAGAGTCTCGCGCACAGTTCCTAGCTGTCTCCAGAGCTCAGGAGATAGCTGCACATCTGCGCCTTCCACACTCTGCTACCGGAACAAGCCTGCCTGTGTCTAGCCCCTGCAGGGGCTTCCGTGTTGTGGGGGGTCTCAGTAATGAGAAACGGCATTTGAGAAATTCAACTATGTCATTAAAAAAAAAAAAAGAATCAATGGAAACGAATAGAACCTCCCCTAAAATGGAGAAATGAAGCCAAACATTCCCAGTAGGAATCATGGAAACGTCCATTCTAGAATGCGTAAGAGCTCTGGTTAAGCAGATGGCCAGCAGCAGCAATCACGGTGTCCTGCTCGTACGGTGGCCACGCCAATGCCCGTGGTCGTGTGGTCCTTACACAGCAGACAGCTGCTGCTGTGGCTGCTGCTGTTTGGGTGGGGCGAGTGCCAGGAGGGCCTGCACCGTCACTGCAACCTGGCCCAAACCTTTCTCTTCTAAAATGTGGAGAGGCAAGCACAATTGCTCCTACAGTGGGACAACGTGACATAAAAACAAACAAAAGAGAATATAAGGTAAACATCACAGAACTAAAAGGAAAAAAGCAGCACTTCTCCCTCAGTATCACTATATGAAATATGAAAAGTCAGTACTCAGGAAAGCTGACCTGTTAGTATGAGTTAGACACAGCTCATGTCTGACACTCACTGTCGCTTTATTAACACAACTGAAGTACATACAGATCATTTTGAAAATTCAAAACTTGACTAGTAGTATACATTTACACATCCAACAGAGGAAGAATACAATACTGTGAAGTAAAAACAGCAATATCCTTTCTTTTTTGACACAAGGTCTCATATGTAGTTCAGGCTTTCCTTGAACTCACTGTGGAGCCCAGGTTGGTCTGGAACTCTTGATCATCCTCCTGCCTCAGCTTCCCAAGCCTTGGGATTACAGATGCGTGCCACCATCCCCAGCTAAAGTCTTTTATTTTTGATAAATAAAAGACTAATGCAAATCTTTAAAACAGGCAGGGGAAAAACACTCTTCCAAGTTACCAGGATGATTACAGTCTGCAACTATAAGTAACATATGAGGAGAAAGTTTTGGAAGGTACACACCACAGGAATACAGGATGGGCTCGTGACATCACTGGAGTTTTATGAAAAGGGAAGCCCCTACCTGCCTCATCATCCTGTTCTGAAAACCAGGTTCTTAGACCAAGCAGGGATCACATGAAGAACCTGGATGTACACTAGGCTTCTGAGATTCAGATATATTTCAGAGACTTTCCTCAATACTGGATAATTCATAGAAGGCCCAATCTGAATTAGTTAAATAAACAAATTACAAAATTAAAAAGCAATTGTATGCGAAAAAGTAAACTATTTCATATTCTGGAATCTGATGGGTTAAATTATGCTGGACAACTATTATGTCAGCTTAGTAACAACTTAACCACCAATTTGTCTGAAGTTTTACATGTTTGCTTAAGAAGTTGAATACATCTTGTTTGCCTAATTAACTTGTTTGATTAATCCTTTCTTGTAAGAGAAAAGGGAAAATCTTAAGTGTACCACTTAGCATTGGCTTTCTGTTACGACTAAATCAGGAGAATGAGACTACTCAGTAGAATGCTGGTTCCGTTAAAAACATATATATACATAGATAGGATGATAAGTGGATTTCTCTCTGCTTCTCAATTGGCACTTCTTATAGCATATTACTAGGAAGTTTTACAAAAAGTTATATGTAATAAAAATATAGCAAGTATTTTTTGAGGCAGTTACTGGTACTTGTGTTTACTTTCCTTTTACTTAATAGCTATTTTGCTAAAACAAAGTAACTGGAACCTTTTGACCTAATGCAGTTAAGTTTGTGTAACTACTTTGAGTCCTACTCCAGATACAGACTATTGAAAACCAATCTGCCTGGTGCTCTGCTTTCTGCAGGGCTGATTCCCTGGTCTTCTCCAGGAGCGCTGTGGCTGAGCCCATGGTGTGGTGCCCACTCCTTGGGACTGGGGCTTTCTAGGTGCACCTGTATCTTCCGGCTGGGCTGCAGGGACCACTGTGTGTTCAGGAGAATGCACACGACCACCCTAAATGATACCTAAGGCCATGTTTTTTTAAAAAATGTTTTTGTTTTTTTAAACAAACAAAGCTCTATAAAACAATAATCACTAACTCTTTAGATATATTAAAAATAAAACAAACTCAAAACCCCAACCTCTGGAAGGCACTACTGTATAAAACTGAAGATTTTCTTTCTTTTTTTTTCCAGTACTAGGATTGAATCATGGATGCTCACAGTGAGCTATATCCTTAGCTAGCCAGCTAGCCAGCCAACCAGTCAACCTTCCTTCCCTCCATATTTATGTATGGAAGTATGTGTGCGTGTATGTATGTATGCATGTGTTTTTTAAAATTTAGAGACAGGGTCTTACTAAGTTGCTAAATTACCTGGGCTGGCTTGAATTTGTGATTCTTCTGCCTCAGCCTCCAAGTGTTCGGCCCCATTCCAAGCTAATTATAAAGTAACATTAAGGTCCAGAAACAAATATACTAAGTAGTTTGAAAAACACTGACAATATTTGTTTCCTTGGGTACAGACCCAAAACTGCAGTCTAATACTTTACATACTACTGTTCAGATATAATCTCCCCAAGAGTCTATAAAATACCAATTCACCTACTTGGATAGTTCAACTATATTAAAAATTATATAAATTCCAACTTTAAATTCTAAGTAGGATTACAGAAGTGAATCACAATCTCAGTAAGCTAAGGAAATCTGGACAAGTACCTAAAGGTCACATGGGCCATGTGTTTCATGAGAATATGCAAATGTATTTACTGGGCTCAGAACAGCATTTTACAGAACCTTATGACCTTTAAGCTGAACATTCTGACCAAATTAAAGTTATGAAGACTAAATGGCCAGTGTCTTCCAAATGTCCAGACTCCTACATGGACCTGTGCCTCTCAATCAAGGGCAAGCTCAGGATTTCAAGGCGGATAGCTAAGTGACAAGGTATCCCTAACCAGGCAGGATACTACTCTTCTGTAGCAGCAGCTGATGGAGAGGTTCAGCAGCTCACACACCGACCTTTAGGCTGTGCTGAGGCATACAGAAATGCTCAGGCGAGGGTTTTACTGTCATGTGGAAGTAATAAAGTTTTTATGTCATGTTCTAAGAACAGGTTCAGGACTGTATTAGTAGAAATGCTTCAGCATTTATGATAAGAGGGAAAAAAGGCCACATGATCAGGAGAGAAAGTGCTCGTGTTTTGTTGGCAATCGTGAATGCTTATGGATGTGATAAGCTGCTCCTATGGACCTCTGAGGAGAGGATTATCTAAGATTAGTTCCTTGATGCCAGGGGGAAAAAGCACATACATAAACTATTCTGCCTGAGAAACAGGCCAAGTGCAAGGAATGTGGCGGAAAATCATGGGAATGCAGTCTTTCAGCGAGAGGGGAAGATCCAGGAATAAAGCATACGGAGAGTTAACATCGAAGTACAGTAAAACGCCACAAAACCCAGAAGCTGGACAGACAGAGAGACAAAACTGGATTCTTCTGAATGTGCCCCAAGAGAAAGTAGTGTTTCGACAGTTCTTTTAACGCTGAGGTTTAGCTGAAGGATGTCGGAAGGGGAACAAAGATTGTCCTGTCCAAAGTGTGAGCAGGAAAGGAAACAGAAAAACAAGGTCAGTGGATCAGAAATGCAGATTTGAGCACAGAGTTCAGTATAATCATTTCAATCACAAGTCAAAATTACATGTGCTGCAACATTTTAATTATGATGAATAAAAATAAAATGCTGAAAAACAAAATGACTTCTATGTGCAGACTGATTTCACTACTAAATAACAGCATGAAATCTGTTTGCTGGTACCCAGTATAAACATTAAAGACATGAGCAGAACTGGAGGCTGGCTTAAAGGGGGTGAGATAACCTCCTCCTCAATGCTTTTTTTTTTTGAGACAGGGTCTTGCTATGCAGTTTGGGCTGGCCTTGAACTCACTATACAACCCAGGCTGGCCTCAAATTCATGGCAATCCTCCTGCCTCAGCCTCCCAAGTGCTGGGATTACAGGCATGCCCAGCCCAAAAATACTCTTTAACACGTAAACAAGATACTGGACTCAAACAGAAGTTTTATACTCCAAGATAGGTCTTTTTTTAAAATGCAACTTGTTTAATAAAAGCATAGAGGTGAATACCCATAATAAAAGTGAATACTTACTCTCCTCATAAATCAATTTTTTAGTAACTGGACTCTTTAATGCTCCCTAACTTAGCTTGTGTACCCTTTAAGTTACATGGGGAAAAGGGATTGTTTGCCTTCATGCATATTACTTGGGCACATCGTAGGATCTGAGAAATATCTACAATATTTTCTATTTTACATTTTCAAAAGTGACCATGATTTCACCCCCAATTGTCCTTTCAAGGCAGCAAAGCAAGCAGAGATGCTGCGGTAAAGGCTAAGGGGAGGCGGAGGAGGGAGGGGGGCCAGGGCACAAGTTGGGACCTTCCAGTTGAGCACTTATCCACCTCCCTCCGACTTGCGTGGCAAAGGGCAGGGTAACAGGAAGCTGTCTAAACAGGTGGCAGCAGTGGTGGCAGTGGTCAGCGACTTGGGTGAACAGCAGAAGGAGAAAAGGAAGAGGTGGCCTTTGTGGGATACTGTTTCCTCTTTATGGTGTGCAAGAGGAAGAGGGAGGAAGGCTGCATCCAGAACCTTAGACTAAGCACCCTGAAAAAGACTCAGTCTTTTAAAATTGTACTTTTCTATTTTTGTACTTGGCTTCAAGTAGCACAGCCCTGATAGAAATGGTGGCTGGCCCATAATACCACTGACTTAAATGCATGTTTGAAGGTATATAGTTTTTTTATTCTTTTATTTTTTGTACTGGGAACTGAACTCAGGACCTTGTGCTTGGAAGGTACACTGTTTTCCTATTTTGCCGACTGCAGAACATTCTCGAAGATTTCAGGTTAGGGACTTTCAATCTGAGACAGGATAATTCCGTAAAGCCTAGCATAATGTCTTGTAAAGCTGGAAAACAGCACTTTGAACAAATACTGACTTAAGCCAAGGCAGCATGCCTTGCTTCTTTTTGGAGTCCCATCCCATGACCCACCCACGCTGCACTCCAGAGCCACTGTGGTGTGGAGCTGAAGCAGGCACCAGGCATGTCTCTGCAAGCCGGGACAGCTCGGCCCAAGGAAGTGGGTAGTGGGAAGGAGGGAGGACGGACTGGATGTTAATGTGTACGTGCACATGTTAGAACTCTACTGATACAGAGAAAAGACATGCAAGCTCTCTAGAAGCCATATTAAATGCTCTATTAATATATTTAACATGGTCTGGTGAGCCTTTATAAAACAATAATACAAAAACGAAAAATCTAGTTGGGCATAGTGGTGCACGCCTGTAATCCTAGCCCTCATGAGGCTGAGGCAGGAGGATCACTGAGAGGTGGAGGCCAGCCTGGGCTACAAAGTGAATTCAAGGTGAGCCAGAACTGCATAGTGTAACCATGTTTCAAAAAGATCAAAAAAAGAGAAAGAAACAAAGAAACAAAGGAAAATATGCTTTGAATTTGTCCACAGGAATAAAACAGGTCCTTGGTCACTGCCATTTTACGTGTTTCAGTTCTTTTATAACTCTCAGGTTATTTTAAAAAAAAAAAAAAAGGGGGGGGGCTGAGGATTTAGCTCAGTGGCACAGCGCCTGCCTGGCAAGCACAAGGTTGTGAGTTCGATTCCCGGTACCAGAAAAAAAAAAAAAAAAAAGCAAAAGAAAAAGTAAAAAATAAAGAATATAATGATGATCTCTTTAAAAAAAAAAAAAAAAAAAAGGAGAAAAATAACTGGGAATTCATGCTGTCTAATGCAGATGCCCCAGGGAGCTGGGCACTTGCTCTTCTGCTCTGCAACAAGAAAAGGGCAGCCAAAAAGGGCTACAGACTGGACAAGCGATGCCCTGGCATTCTGGGATCCCAGGTATCAAGATGAACCAGGTAAGGAGGTCATAGTGAAGCTCCTGGAACAAGGGCTTCATTTGGAGAGGAACCATGACACTGTTGATGGATCCAGGGCCAATTCTGAGTCTCTTGACAGCTAATCAAGGTGAAAGAAGAGTGATGTTTTTGTCCTTGGCAGGTTGGATGAAATGTAAGACTTGCAGGGGTTGGGGATGTGATACAGTGGTGAAGCATCTGCTCAGCATGCAAACAAAAAAACTGATCCTAAGGTATCATGCTGTTTCTTTAGATTTGTCTCTGTATCATATCATTAAAATATAATATTCCTGAGAGTATATGCTTAGTTCATTTCAAATTGCTTTTTAAAAAAGGTAACTGAACAAAGACTATATCCAGCTCATTTTCCTAATCACATCAGTAACTAAGTTTAACTATCTGCACTACTAAAGGGGAAAAATATTGTAACTGAGGAAGCTGGCAGGTGTAAATCCTTGGAACAGAACTAGCGTGCACAAATGGCCTCTAGTGTGCACAAATGGCCTCTAGTGTGCTATACTCTGAAGTATTAAAGTTTAGTGGTAAAACTGGTAGAATGTGAATGACAGCTGTAATTTAGTTAATACTATTATTGTCCCAGCGTTACCTAGTTTGGACAACCACTATGTATATATTAGATGTTAACATTTTAAAAAACTGAGCAAAATGGACACAAGAATTTTCTGTGCTAGTTCTAAGATTATTTCAAAATTAACATCCATAAGAAGTATTCAAGCAAGTGCTAAAAAACGAAGCAAACTGAAGTACTCTCAATCTGAGATGTATTTATGTTGCAAGATGTTGTACATGTCATTGTACAAAGGTCAAAGGGTAGAGATGTTTAGAAAAATAATATTTATTAGATACTTACAAGATAATTATTTACATTTATATGTTTGTAATTTCTTTGTGAGGTCGTTGGAAATAAGGAAAACAATCAAAAGAATGTTGACTGACTCTTACAACTGAACATCATGTTAATAATGATCATCTTAGTTCAGAACTGCTATAGTATGTTTTTTTTTTTTTTTTGCCAAACAAATAGTTTAATGATACATCTCTCTCTCTCTCTCTCTCTCTCTCTCTTTCTCTCTCTCTCTCGTGGTACTGGGAATCAAACTTGACCTCAACCTCTTGCTTGCAAGGCAAGTGCTGTACCACTGAGCTATATCCCCAGACCTATGATACATCTCAACAGTCTATGTAATATGATTTTACAGACTTATATCTCTGACAGATTTTAGGATAATACCTAATCTTTTCAAGAACACACACACACACAAAATGCTAAATGCATTACCTGAGGTACACCAATTTTTCTGCATGCTTCTAGGAAATTCTCCACATTTCGCCTGCATTTTGCTATTGTTAATTTAGGCTGCAATGAGAAAAGGAAGAGGAGAAATTTTGGTGTTACCAGCAAAGGTCTATAAAATGTAGTTAACTGCTATGCATGGTAGTGCATGCCTGTGATCTCAGCACTGGGAAGGCTGAGGCAGGAGAATCCTAAAGGAAAGGCCAGCCTGGGGTAAAGCTTAAGGCCTACCTGGACTACAAAGTGACACACCATTTAACAAAAAGTGCTAACATTGAAAACACTGTTTGCCAGCTGCTTCACATGTTCACAATGCTGTAGACTAGGGGGTCAGCAATTTTGTCTTCAAAGGATCTGATAATAAATGTTAGCCTTGAGCCACAAAGCTGGCAACTGCTCATGACTGCTTGGTACTTGAAAGCAGCCATAGATGATGTGCACATGCGCAAGTGCCACTGTGCTCAGGAGCACTTCCCGTACGGAGCTAGGTTCGCTGCCTGGGGAGCAGTTTGCGCCGAACCAGACTCTGACCCAGACGGCTGACCCTGAATTGACAAGTGAATGCTGCGCAGAGAAGCTTTGAAGTGATAAAGGTTTTTTTTTTGTGCCCCCCCCCTCATTTTAAAACAATACACACTAAAAAGAATTTCAAAGAACAAAATTAATTACCCACAGCTCATCTTTCAACTATAGCCACAACTAAGACTTGGTTCATTTTCTTTTAGTCTATTTTAAAGAAGATAATTTTTAAAAATCAGTAATATTTGCTCATAAATATATTACAGAGGCATTAAGTCTTTATTCACTAACAACTAAAATTTTAAGACCATTTATTTATTTATGGATCTGGGATCATCGAACTAGCCAGTTCTCAAAGAATCACAATAAATTAACATTTATGAATATGGCCAAAAAGAAACTGATAAGGGTTTTCGTTTGTGTTTGGCTTTCATTTATATCCTCATCACAAAAATAATTCTACTAAGAATGTACATTATAAAGTTCAGTATGGTCATAAGAACAAAATAAAGAAACAGTCTACTGTGAGGAATAACAATTTTTATGAAGGAAAAAGAGGTATAAACATTCATCTTGAAATCTAACACTCTAACTGCAACTCCATTAGAGCAATACTGATTTTTTTTACTTGCTTTTTTGAGACAGAGACGCACCATGTAGCCTAGGCTGGCTTGAACTCACAGCAGTCTTCCTACCTTAGCCTCCAAGTGCTGGGATTACAGGCGTGCACCACCATGCCTGGCAACAATATTTATTTATTTCTAACAGTCATGACCACAATTGAAAGCAGGGTTGTTTCCCTTTTTTTTGCTTTTAATTTAAATACTGGATGATTCTCACCCAGCTAAATGAAAGTCCACTTCTTCACACCCTAAACTGACAGTTTCGGAAGTTTTACATATTTGCATGTGTCTTTTAAACTTTATTACCCCAAAAGATTCCTTCCTAACCAGTGTACACCTGCAGTCCCATCCACGCAGAAGGCTGAGAAAAGGACTGCTTTAACCCAGGAGGCTTTTCCTCTAACAAATCTGAAAAATCAAAACAAAAATCTCTCTTTATTTGCCTAGTGTCAAAGTAAGTACTTTTACTTTATTTTTTAAAATTACTTAAAAATTATTTTCAACCAGGTGTGGTGGCACACGCCTATAATCCCAGCACTTAGGCGGCCAAGGCAGGAGAATCACTGAGTTCGAGGCCAGCCTGGGCTACAGAGTGAGTTTAAGGCCAGCCTGAACTGTATAGAGAAACCCTGTCTCAACAAGATCCCCCCCAAAATCAGTATTAAAAAGTTATGTAGTTCAGGTTGAGTTTTTGTTTTTGTTTTTTTTTTTTGGTTTTTCTCCGGTACCGGGAACCGAACTCACGACCTTGCGCTTGCCAGGCAGGCGCTTTGCCGCTGAGCTAAATCCCCAGCCCCTCAGGTTGAGTTTGAACCCTTGGCAACGGCATGCCTCAGCCTCCTGAGTGCTGGTGGTACAGGTGTGTGACACCCTTGCCCAACTAGTACTTTTTTTGGGATGGGGGAGTACTGGGAATCAAACTCAGGACCTCGCATTTGCCAGGCAGGTACTGCACCACTGAGCTATATCCTTAGCCCAGTACTTGCTTTTAAAATCAAGAAGAAAAATGCCCAAATGCTAGACATGGTGGCACACACCCGTAATCCCAGCACTTGGGAGGCTGAGGCAGGAAGACTGCTGCAAGTTCAAGGCCAGCCTGGGCTACAGAGTGAGTTGAAAGTCAGCCTGAATTACAGAGCAAGGCCCTGTCCCAAAAGACCAAAAACAGTAACAACAACAACAACAACGAGAGAGAAAGGTGCCCAAATAAGAGGCTGATGTTAGCCAGGCACAGCGGTGCATTAGGGAAACTGGGCCAGGAGGATCACAAGTTTGAGTCCTGCCTGGGCAACATAGCAAGACCATGTCTCAAAATTCAAAAGGCTAAGGAGTAGCTCAGTGGCAGAACAGTGGGACAAAAAGACTATTGTATTAATCCAAGCTGGAAAAGTTAACAAGTTAGAGCAATGAAAGGAAGATTATTTTAGAGGTAGGACTGACGCAGTCTAGTGACTCCCGTGGGAGATGGGAGAACAGGCATTTATGAAAGATTATTTTTATTTTTTATATTTTCTCTCTACTATTATTATTTTTGTGGTACTAGGGGTTGAACCCAGGGTCTTCACAATGAGCTATATCCCCTGTGCTTGTTTGTTTCTTTAGGGATTTTTTTGGGGGGGACTTTTTAAGGGTCACCTGAATGAAAAACTATACATGCTTTTCTTGTCGGGGGGGCAGGTATTTGTAGCATAGATAAAATCCAGGTAAAGAGAAAACCATGACTTTTGGAAACAGGGTCTTGCTATATAGTTCAGAGTGCCCTTGAACTCACTATTTAGCCTAAGCTAGCCTTGAATTCATCATGATGTTCCTCCTGCCTTGGCCTCCCAAGTGCTAGGATTATAGTATGTACCGCCATGCCCAGCACTTTATTTTTTGCGACATGGTCTCACTAGGTCACCAAACTGTCCAGGCTGGACTTGAACTCGTGATCCTCCTGTCCCAGCCTTCCAGGTTCTGGGATTATAGGCATACACCACCACACCTGACACACTTCATTATTTTTAAAAGAAAGGTTACTGTTTTTGAAAAAAAAAAAAAAAAAAGAACTACTTATAACTCACTGCTGCTACCTTTTATGCCTAGAAGGATGCCAGTAAGAATTATTTATGTTGTTGATAACAAAGTTCTAAATGCCTTAATCTCATGTTACTCTCTTACTACTAAAAAGGCTCATGTATTTTATTTCTTCAAGCAGTTAACCCTTCAATGCCTAGTGATCCATTTGTGGAATGACAATAACAACAGAACATAATGAAATGTGTCCTCTTCAAATTTTCATTGTAATTTTCTAGGTTAACATATCTTCAGCATAAATTGGTTAAATGTTTATGAAAGTTTTATTTTGAGTGTGGTGTTCTGATGTTGATAGTAAAAAGTCCCAGTCCTTTTACTTTCAAATCTCCGTTCATTAGCTCCTTGCTTATTACCCCTGGAAATGAAGAAAAACAGAACACCTGTTTTCTAAGTGCTAAATAAAAATAGAGCCTAGCTATTTTCCTTAGAATAAATGTATGATTCAGCTGGGCACGGTGGTGCACACCTGTAATCCCAGCACTTGGAAGGCTGAGGCAGGAGGATCATTGTGAGTTTGAGGCCAGCCTGGGCTACAAAGTGAGTTCAAGACCAGCCTGAACTGCATAGTGAGACCCTGTCTCAAAAAGACAAAAAGAAAAGTAATGAAAAGAAAAGAAAAAACAAATGCATGATTCCATTTTTGGATGTGCTACACAGAAAAGGGACACACAGCATTCTTGGGACTCTGGTAACAAAGAAGTCCTTACAATTAAAATAATACAAGGTCCTTGGGAGACACAAAGGATTTTCACCTAGAAAGCCAGTAAGATGAATGCCCCAAAATAGAAATCTACAGTCTTCTACATAATTGGAGTTTGAGTAAAGAATTTATAACAGGAACTGCCTGCCTAAATAACAATAAATGAAGAGAAAATAAGATGAGGTCAGCTGGGTGTGTTGGCATATGCCTGTAATCCCAGCACTCAGCAGGTTGAGACAGGATTGTCAGGAGTCTAAGGCCAGCCTGGGGCTACAGAGTCAGTTCAAGGCCAACCTGAATTGTATAGTAAGACCTTGTCTCAAAAAACAAAAAAAAGGAGCTGAGGGTATAGCTCAGTGGCATGGTATCTGCCTGGCAAGCGCAAGGTCCTGAGTTCAATTCCTGGTCCCTCCACCCAAAAACAAAACAAAACAAAACAAAACCCTCAAAGATGAGGTCAAACCTTTGAGAAGTCAAACATGGCTAAGTATATTACAACTGCACAGTATTTGTTCAAAGCTATCAAAAGCAGGTGAAACAATCAAATGCAATGAGAGCTTTGATTATATCTGCACATGCGCTGTGTGTGTGAGTGTTTGCACGTGCCTGTGTACTGTGACCAGGAGGGAGGGAAAGCAGCTATAGAGATGTTCTTAAACTAAGTGGGGGATGTGAATATACCCCGTGGCGGATGCTGGCACCTAGCGCCCCTCCACCAGTCCATGACCCCATCTTCGACCCCCACCTGCACACCCTGCTGGCTGCTAACCCCTTTCTCAGCGTCAGCCCGGGCCCACGGCACGCTCAGGAGTGGGAACAGCACCAAACACACGGCAGGCCTGAGCCTGGCCCTCTATCAGTTGGCCACTGGCATGGGCTAGGGGCAAAGTCAAGGGGCCCAGGAGTTTGGAAATAGTTAAGGGGTAGAGAGTTATGACATATGGAACTATAACTGGTGCAGTTAAAAGACACACAAACACACAAAAACAGTAAGTATGGCAAAATGCAATGCATATCAGACCTAGGTAGAGATCTTAAGTGTTCCCCTATCTGAAAGTTTACTTATGTGTGTCCACGGGTTCTTTTCTAAAAGTAACATTTAACTGACACATAAAAACATAAAAACTATACATATTTATGAGATACTATGTGACATCTTGATATATGCATACATTACATAACGTTTAAAAGAGGTGACACACATCTTATCCCCTTTAACATTTATCATTTCTGTCTTCTGAAATACTGGGGATGGAACCAAGGTCTCTGGCGTGCTGGGCAAGTGTTCTCTCACCGGGCTCCACCCCAGGCCAATATTTCTTCTCTTGAGGGGGAGGCATTATTTCTTTATGGTAAAAATATTTTAAGTCCTGTCTTCTCAACAGCATAGCAGATCTTTAAAATTAAAAAAATTCATGATAAAATTTGAACTAAAGCAAACCAAACCAAATCAAGAGACGTGTGTCAACCCAAACCCAAAGCCTACTCTTTCTCTTGCGGCTGCCATCCTGATAGTAACACCTAGGTCTGACCAGCAGCAACCAAAAAAAACATCGGGCATTCTCTGGAATGCCTGTTCTCTCACCTTCCACAGGAGTGACTAGACTACATTAGTCCCACCTCTAAAACAACCTTCCTCTCACTGCTCTAACGTGTTAACTTTTCCAGCTTGGATTAATACAATAGCCTTTTTGTCCCACTGTGGTGCTGGGGACTGAACCCAGGGATGTTCTACCACTGAGCTACTCCTTAGCCTTTTTTTTTTTTTTTTTTTGTTTTTTTCCGGTACCAGGAACCGAACTCACGACCTTGCGCTTGCCAGGCAGGTGCTTTTGCCGCTGAGCTAAATCCCCAGCCCTCTCCTTAGCCTTTTGAATTTTGAGACATGGTCTTGCTATGTTGCCCAGGCAGGACTCAAACTTGTGATCCTCCTGGCCCAGTTTCCCTAATGCAACGCTGTGCCTGGCTAACATCAACCTCTTATTCTAACATCTCTGTTCTAACATTTATCACATTGTTGTAAATTATTGTTTTCATGTCTTTTTTTATTTCTAGTAGAAGGGAGACCAAGAAACAGACCCTTTAAATCTGCATCCCAAGCATCCAGCACAGTGATTGCCTACTGTTCAATAATTGTCTGATGAACAGCTGATGCTTTCTAGTATTAAAAACTCACCACAGCCGGTGAGGGAACATGAATGCTTGGGACAGACCGAGGCCGCACATGATTGGCCAAATGGCAAAGAACAACACCATCAGTTAGAGCTGCTCCAAGATCACAAGGCAGAGAGACTTTTAACCGGTACTCAATGTGCTGAAAGAACAGGAAAATACATAATATAGTCACTGAAGAGTAATTAACACATAAGACAATGATGTTATAATAGAAAATATTTAACAAAAAAAAAATTGAACTAGAAATAAGATAAAAAGGAAGCAAATACCACAATCTATTTTATCCTTGTCTCCCAAGTCAGTATTTTAAGGCAACCCGATACAAACGTATGGCAATCAGACTGCACATAGTGCCAAGTACAACAAAGTTTCAGAGACAATTTTCCGAACAAAAAGAAAAAAAAGCCGGGTGTGGTGATGCACACATTGGGGAGGTTGAGGAAGGAGGATTGCCATAAGTTCAAGTCTGAGTGTGGCCTAGGATACATAGTAAGATGGTGACACCCTGTCACAAACAAACAACAAAACAAAACAAAAATGAGGAGGAAAACCTGGATTCTCTTTCAGGTCCAAAATAAAACGGCAAATCTCTCACTGCAAAGTGTGCTATATATGTCTACATGTACATGATGTAAACGATGACGCTCATAAAATTTCTTTATAATTTGAAGCAGGAAGGAAATAAAAAAATTCAAATGAGTAAAGGTAGGAATTGAGCTTTTAGAATGATCCATCTCATTTTTTAGTAAAAAGTTTCCTTATTAACAAAATTTCTCTCACTTTTGCCACAAAACACAACACACAATGGACAATGTTTGGTGTCACAGAGTGAACCCAGGGCCTCTCACATGGACAAGTGCTTTACAACCTCAGCCCTTTTGAAATTTTATTTTAGACAGGGTCTCACTAAGTTATTACATTGCCGAGGCTAGCCTTGAACTTTTGATCTTCCTGTCTCAGCCTCCCAAGAAGCTGGAATTATAGGTGTGTGCTACCACATTCAGCTTGACACTTACTGCTTCTATAAAAATTATATGTCGGATACCCAAGTGATTACAGGAAGATGGACCAGAGCAGTAACACTTTAAGTGCAAATCAGAGGTAAAATACGCACTTTCCGTAGCTGATCTATTAATTTCAGCTCTTCTTCTCTCTGTCTTGTGATGCATTCTGCAGAATCTGTGGCAGGTGCAGGAGACGAGAGAAGGGAGGAAGCATGACCTACAGACACAGTAAACGCAACAGGGAAAGGTGACTGTGCTGCTAGCCAAGTGCCCACATCCGCCCGACCTGAGTCTTTCCACTACAGCAGTGCTGACGTTGTGGAGTGACTTTGCAAAGGAGGTTTTTATTACGGAAATTTAAAAATACACACAATAATGGCAAAAGAGCATAAAACTAGGACATTTCCATAACCCTCTGGCTTAACTACTTTTTCATGATTATGTCCATTTAAAAATGTTTTTACTGAAAATCATATAGAAACAGAAAATTATACAAAGATAAACACAGAGCTCTGCCACTCGGCTACATCTCCAACCCTTTTTATTTTGAGAAAGGATCTTGTTATGCTGCCCAGATTATCCTCAAACTTTTGACCCTCCCACCTCAGCCTCCTGAGTACCCAGGGTAACAGGCATGTAAAACCATGGCTGGCTTCTAAGAAGCTTTCTTATCAAAAAAATTCAAACACGGTGCTCCTGATTTAATGTCAGTGAAATCACAGACATCAACAGTTTAAAGCTCCTGCCGAGGCTAGCTCTTGGTAGAGAAGTGTGAAAGCATGCTAACAGTTAACTGCATTACATTAGGCCACCCCCAACAACCCACTGTCTCACCTTTTCAAACCACTGCCACCTACCTTTATTTGCTTCTCCCCTGACAGCTCCTCGGAAAAGGAAGCTCTCAGGGCGCGGGGGTTGATTTCTCTGGATAGCAGCAGGAAAAGAATATGCAGCAGAGTGATGAACTAAGTCAGCTTGGAACAGCAAGATGACATTAAAGGAAATGGAAGGCAAATTAAATATAATATAAAGAAAAACAAATTAAGCATAGCAATGATATAAAATGATAATTCTCTTCATGAATGAAAAGTCTGGCAAGAAAAATAATACTCAAAGTAGGGAGGCTGTGTTTTTAATTCTGAAGTTATTTTTGATGGGACCAACAAATATTCATATGTTGAACAGTCTCTTGCAAAGCTATAACCCTGCGAGTTCATGTTCATTTGTCCTTATTAAATGATTAAGCAGTTGTTCAACAAGATCTTTTTTTTTTTTTTTTTTTTTTTGTCTTTTTGAGACAGGGTCTCGCTATGCAGTTCAGGCTGGCCTTGAGCTCACTTTGTAGTCCAGGCTGGTCTCGAACTTGCAACTATCCTCCTGCCTCAGTCTCCCCAGTGCTGGGATTACAGGCGTACACCACCACGCCCGGCTAAGATCAATTTTTAAAAAGGAAGTGTTTAGAATGTTTCTGATTGGGTGTCCAATTTCTATCTCTGAAAAGTTCTCCAACAGGAATCATCTCGGTCAGTTCTCTAACAAGTAACTGACCATGAAAGAAAGAATTATCTTGACATGATTATTTCTACCTTTATGTCTATTACCTGCTTCCACTGTAGGTGAATGTGATATGGCATTAGGTCTGTCATTACTCTGTAGAGGAACAGAGATATATCAAGAGTTACTATCCAGGAAGAGATACGTTCCACATTTATGGCAACTCTGAGACTACGAAACCAATGAAACCTATGCAAGTCTCCTTCAAAATTATGTCTAGAAATGAAAATTTGTTGAAATGAATTAAATTTTTCACATTGTCTTTTAAAGATGAACTTTTTACTCTGTTTTGTTACAGAAGCATTCTCTGAAGATAGTCCTATTATTCTACAGGCTTTCCAAAGACCCTGAAACAATCATCCTAAGGCAGAAAATTCTACTGAAAAATAAATAGAAACAAGAACAATATTTTTCTAATAGCATTTTTCCAAAAGTTTCTAAAGTATTTTTTCTCCTGAAAAGTAAAATTTAATTTTTAAGAGTGATGTAAGTTTTTCATTTCAATTACCAAAATGTGTGTTTAAGAGATGCTACATGTATTTGCTATAGCAGTATGTGAGTCTAAGATGTCTTCATTGGGCAAAAGAACTTTAAAAAGGAGGAAAAATAGCTAAACTGGTATAAAGTTTACCCAAAAGAGGAAAATATGGTTATGAAATCTGAAACATTTGTTGGTTGGATTAAAGATGATGAAGACTTGGCAGGGAAGTAGAACCAAGAAAGGACTTGACATGTATATTGAAATACGTAACTTTTTGAAATAACTAAGACACTTCTGAACAAAGAATGACTTTAAAACTAACACACACATCTATCTACTCCCATGTTCTTCTCTACACTGGTTTCAGCAGTTTCAGAAACTGTCTTCAAATGAGAAGATAAAAATATTTTCAGAAATCTCGTATCTATAGTTGAAGTTAACGTTGACAGTATTTTAACTGTTTTTGAGAACATTTTTCCCAGTTACAGTTCTTTAGTTTGATACAAGTCTTTAGCCTAGAATTAAGATTCAAAAAGTAAGTTGCACATTTGAGTAAAACCACCGATTATCTTTCCAGGGGAAAGACATATTCATCAAGATTGTAAATTTAAAAAAAAAAGATTATGAATTCATTTTTTTTTTTGGTACTAGGAATTGAATTCAGGACCTTGTGCTTCCCAGGCAAGCACTGTGCCTTGAGCTACCTCCCTGGTCGCTGTAAATTCATATTAACTAAGTCTCAGGTGTTGGGAAAAATGGAAATTTAAGTAAGAAATTTAATTTAAAACAAGAGTAACAGGAACTAGTAAAAGGAATCAATAGGCAAATGAGGCAAAAGCTGGCTATCTTTACAAGGAAACAGAAGACTACCCTGACTTTCAAAGGGTATGCGCAAGGAAGGAGAAAGTACGCTAGACAGTCAAGGACCAGTGACGCAGACAAAAACCTCCAAAGGTAGAGATTATTCTTCTAGATACAGAGAAAAAATACTTTTAAACATTTAGAAGTGTCACTTATAGTACAGAGACTAGAAAATTAAGCATAGTAAGAAATAAAAGGAAAAGGAGGATACAAAGGCAGCTTTACTAGACGAGAAGAGCTGAGACAAGTGACACCGAAGGACAGCAAATGCTCTCGACCTCCCAAACCAGCTGCACAGCCTGCACAACACAATCAGCGCGAGGAAAACAGCCCAAAGGCGGGGACTGTAAATGACGATTTCAAAAATATACTTTTTTACTGAAAGAAACTATAAATCTAAGTGACTTGCATTCTACAACACTAATTCGTTCATATCACTCTAAGTCTACTTAACTATTATGTGGGAGTTCTTGGAGAGCAAAAAACGGTTGTGGAATAATCTCAAAACTGGTATGAATTCAATTTTTGAGCCTGGCTGAGCAACAAAAGAAACAAAACTATGCATAAATACAGTGTGTAACTGTTGTAAAGGTAAAGATAAAATTTGAAAACCAATCATCTGCCTCTTTAGTAGGTTTGGTAGAAGCAAAGTCAGACTTAACATCTATCTTAAATCCAGTAAAGTTTCAGATTTAATTTCATATGAGAATCACTTTTTTAGAGAAAACGATCTGGATCTCACAATGTCTGGTACATTCATATCTGGCCTTTCTTAATTAACTATGACTCTGAGATAGATAATTCCCAGGCTCCCTTGAGATAATGAATCCAACTCCTCTCACACAGGTAGAGTGGTACTAGCTGTGCATCTGCATTTCTCCCTAGATAAACTCAAGATGCTTTCTTGAGAGAATTTTGGGGAAAAAATGGCTGAAATAATTTTCTTTTCTTTTTGGTTTTCTGAGACAGGGTTTCAACTATGTAGTCCAGGATGGCCTTGCATTCACTATGCAGGCCAGGCAGGCTCAAACTCATATTCTCCTGCCTCAGCCTCCTGAGAGCTGGGATCAGAGGCAAGCACCACTACACCTGGCTGCTGCAATAATTTTCTATGTTGTGCAAATAAGGACCCTAACTGAAAAAAAGGCTAGCAACAAGTCACCATGGAAAAGAATTACAGACAAAATTTTCTCAGGAGTCATCCAGGTACATATAGCACTTTCAATAACTGATCAGAGAAAAGGTTCATCAGGTTAACAGATGTCAAAAAGTTGAGAGGTCAGCATGACACAAGACTTGAAAGTATTCTGGTACACTGGAGAAGCAAAAATGTTCAAACAGTAAAATTAAATATTCAGGAAAAACAAAAGATACATGAAGTAGAAATTTGGGAGTACAACATGAACACTGAGAATGATAGTAGATACTGAACAAAATGAACATCACAAACTGAAAAAGGCAACCAAAAACTGGCATGAGAAGACATGTGAAAACCCAGGCAGGCCCAGCACCAGGCAGGCTCTGCTGGGTTATATTTCTAACTGTGGTTTGGAGCCAAAAGGGAGGGTAGGGCACTATAAACATCAGGAAAGATTAACAGGTTGGGAAAGGCACTTTTATTTAGAGAGAAGTCATGTATGAGATCATAATAGTTTCAAATGCAAAGATGCTTACATGGAGATCTCTAACTGGAAAGAAAAGAAATCAGGGTGAACCACTTTGGGACAGATATGTTAGACAACGGAAGGACCTTTTGACAGTAAGAATTATTAAACATTTCTTACGTATTCTGTGATGACAAATGTGGAATTACCATTCCCAGAAGCTTTTGAAAGATAAAATACTACAAGTTAATTTGCAGACTTATAGTTAGTTTGTTTATTGATTGATTCTTTTTGAGACAGGGTCTCACTACATAGCCCTAGTTTGCCTCCAACTTGTGGCAATCTTCTTGCCTCAGCCTCCCAAGTTCTGTGATTATAAGCATGTACACAACCAGCTTGAATTTCTAGGGTTTAGATTAAATTTTTTTAGAAGGTGGAATCTGTCATCTCTTAAGACATTACTGTTGATATAAAGCAAAGATTGTTCTTTTTTTTCCCCATATAAACAGTAAAAATTTTAAGTGTACAAGTCATTATGATCTCTATAATAACTATTCCAACTCTGTTCACTGTGAAACAGATAATACATAAACGAAAGGGATGGGCTGCTTCAATAAAACTGTTTATAAAAACAGGAAGCCTATAGGCTATAGTTGGCTGACCCATACTGTGGAGGGTTGGGCAGTGGCAGTTTTAGACTGGGATTCATTATTCTCTATGCATTAGACAACAAATTAGTTAATCTGATATGTGCTAACCATAGTAAAGCAGCTCATGACTAAAAAAATAAATGAATAACAAAATGAGAATGACATTTCAAAATCTGAATATAAGGACTTAATGCAGGCTCTATGACTATTTTTTTTTTTGAGACAAGGCCTGGGACTCATATATATATATATATATATATATATATATTTTTTTTTTTTTGCGGTACCGGGGATGAAACTCACAACCTCGTGCTTGCCAGGCAGGCGCTTAGGCCACTGAGCTATATCCCCAGCCCTGGGACTCACTTATATAGCACAAACTGGCCTCAAACTCACAATGATCCTCCTGCCTCAGCCTCCCAAGTGCTGGGATTACAGGTGTGCACTACCATGCCCAGCTTTCTATGACTATTTCTGGAACAATAAAATGTTCAAAAATTTTTATATAAAATCAGTGTTTCTTTCTTTCTTTTCTTGTTTTTATTTTTTGTGAGACAGGGTCTCACTGTGGAGCCCAGGCTGGCCTTGAACTCTCAGTGATCCTCCTACCTCAGTCTTCCAAATGCTAGGATTACAGGTGTGCTCCACTATGCCCGGCAGCCTATGTGTATTTCAAGCAACCCTATACTTTAGGTTACTGTAAGACCAATCCACTGGGAAATTTAAGACCCAGCTTTTATACTTCCTCCCCAAATTTCCTGGATAATTAATGTAACAAGAGATACCTTAAGAGGCAGGAAGGCAGCAGAATGAGGCAGGGTGGCAGCACAGCCCACTTCACTCAACCCTGACAGCGACTAAATTTTTAAAGAGGAAGAGAAGAAACAGAAGGCAGCACTTAAGTTAGCAAAATGTCAAGTGGGAATACCTGATCAATGAAATTAGAAAAGGAAAGGTCACTGACAACTTTCAAATATTTACTAAGACAATATGTGAAAGTATCTTTTATACAACCTAGTTTTTCCATCTGCATAACTCAGGATATTTGCAATATCCCAGATGATATCAGTCAATAACTGAAAGTCATGATTTCATAAAAATGATTTTATACAGAAATAAACCTGAGAACATCATCGTTTTTAGCAAAACACATTTGAAACTAGAGTCCTCTGCTGTTCCTGTGATGGGAAACAATTTTAGTCAAAGAACTCTTTTTAACTGAGTAGAGCTGGGGTCAATCAGAACAGCGTCTCCTCGGTATTAACCCAAATTAGACTGACTGCAATTCAACTCCATGTACCAGGACAGCACTGGCAAACGTCCTGAGGCGGTAAAGGGCTGAACTATCTGCGGATGTGCGAAACTGCTGGTGGGGTGAGTCCAGAGATGAGACTGGAGAGGGGCAGTGGCCAGAGCCCACAAAAGCTTCGAGGCCATGGGAAGAGGGTGAGACTTGAGCAACATGAAGTAGTCTGAGAAGGTCAGTGTCAAAATTTAGAATAGGACTCTTCGTGTAGTGTTGGGTTTGACGTTATTTGGCATACAAAGAAACACAAGATTTGCTTCTTTTTTGTTAATTTATTATTATTATTATTATTATTATTATTGTCTTTTTGAGACAGATCTCGCTATGCAGTTCAGGCTGGCCTTGAGCTCACTGTGTAGCCCAGGCTGGCCCCAAACCTGCATCAGCCTTCTGAGCAATGGAATTATAGGCGTGCGCCACAAAGCCTGGTTATGCAGTTCAGGCTGACCTTGAACTCACTTTGTAGCCAGACTGGCCTCAAACTCCCTGAGATCCTCCTGCCTCAGCCTCCCAAGTGCTGGGATTACAGGTATATACCACCATGCCCAGCCGAACACTTTTAACTAAAATACAAGTGTACTGTTCTGACAAATAACTGAAGGCTATTTCAAACTTCATGCTAAGAGGATTTTGCTGTTGTCTTTTCAAGCTTTACTTTTTCTTTCACTAACTTCCAGTTACATTATGGAAGGCAATACACGACAGTGTGGTGTCTCCTGCAGGTCCGGAGGCACTCAGATCTAGATCTACCTACGTGACCTTGGACAAGACATTCTCTGCCTCAGTAATCAGGATGGTGATCATTTTTAACCTTAACTCTTAAATTTGCCTTGAAGGAGAAGTGAAGGAGATACTTTTGTGTCTGGATCATCAGAGGCCCTCACTATTTCCCATTAATTTAAAGTATTTTTGACTTCTCACGCCAATTAACTTCTACTGAAACTCCAGTCTTGCGGTTGTCCTCATCTTTAAGACTTCCCAGCTAAAATGTGCTCTATCCACCTCAAAGAAAATGAAACTTGCAGAATATACAGAAATTTTAACAGACAGTGGGAGCTCGCACAGCAAAAACCTGATACTCAAGGAATGCAACTCACAGGTTACACCTAACAGCAGCATTTCTAGCACGTGATACAGGATATGTCACAGACACTAGTGAATTGCTCAGTTTTGATGTCACCATAAAAACAGCATAAAACATGATAAGAAAAGCAATTCTACAAATGGTGAGCATTTTCTTGCAAGGCTTATAAAAGTTATGATTTTAAATAAAGCCTCATACTCATTTTCACTTGGTATAAAAGGCAATAAAAAGTAAACAAATGTTAGCTGGGTATGTGCCTGTAATCAGACACTTGCAAGGCTGAGGCAGGAGGATCGCCGTGACTTTGAGGCCAGCCTTGGCTACATAGTGAGTTCCAGGTCAGCCTGGGCTACATGGTGAGCTTGTCTTAAAACAAAACAAAACAAAACTCAAAAAAATAAACAAGACAAAAAAGTAAACGAGTGTTAAAAATGATCAGGAGTTAGCATTATCAGCAATGTTTTCCTGAGTTTGAGATTTTGCTAAATTTTTTGCTAAAAAATTTGGGATTTTTTAATAGTTTAAAATACATAATAATGCCAGGCATGGTGGCGCATGCCTGTAATCCCAGCACTTGGGAGGCTGAGGCAGGAGGATCCTTGTGAGTTTGAGACCAGCCTGGGTTACAAAGTGAGCTCAAGGCCAACCTGAACTGCACAGTGAGACCCTGTCTCAAAAAACAAAAACAAAACAAAACAAAAACATAGTAATACAGGAAGCCAAATGTAAAGTTGCATAATTAGTGTCATGAGGTAAGGGGGCGGTGGTCCCATTTAACACACAGGTGACTCATGAACCAAATTAACAATTAATAAAATGCACCTGGAATGAGAACTCGTTTAAAAGGCTGACACAGTGTGTTATGCCTCATATACACAAAGCCAGTACAGTTCTTTTTTTTGTTTTGTTTTGTTTTTTCCCCCCGGTACCGGGACTCAAACTCATGACCTTGCACTTGCCAGGCAGGCGCTGTGCCGCTGAGCTAAATCCCCAGCTCCCACCAGTACAGTTCTTAATGCAAATACTTTTCATTGGGAAGCACTACAGAGACTGTGAATACCAGCTGCAGCCCTTGAACGCTGGCAAATGGATGGTGACGCAAGGACACAGGCATAGCTCCTACAAAGCTTTCAGCAATCACACTCATCATGTTTTATGATATCCACGTCATTTCTTTCTTTTTGTGTGGGTACTGGGAATCAAACTCAGGACTTCGAGCTTGCTAGGCAGGCACTGCACCACTAAACTATATCCCTGGCCCCTTTATTTTTTTGGCTTGTCTTTTTGCAACAGGGTTTCACTATGAAGTTCAGGTTGGCCTTGAACTCATTTTGTAGCCCGAAGCTGGCCTCAAACTCCCGGATATCCTCCTGCCTCAGTCTCCTGAGTGCTGAGATTATGGCATGCACCTCCACACCTGGCTTCAGGTCATTTCTGAGTGAAGAGCACATAGCTGCTCTTCAATCTCCAGACACAACAATGTAAAACTTCATTTTTTATAAATCTTACCACTAACAAGGCACTATCATCAGTGTGCTGAGACCTTCTGGGTGGGAAGGGACACTGGAGAGGTGGAGAAAAATGAAGCAATGTCAAAAGCAAACTACACACACAAGTGACGCACTTCAAACAAACACACAAGAGGACAGAGATACTAAGCCACACTTTGGAAGATGCAGACTCAAAGATCATATTTACAATCATCTGAATCTACGTACCATAACAGCCAACAAATTAACTCTGAGCCCTGATTTTCTTCCAAAGAGTTTAAACAACTTCAAATATGATCTCACTGTTTAAAAACCTTCTGAAGAAGCAAAGTCAAAATTGACAAAAACAATGTCTTTATGTGTTTTTTTAAGGAAGTGAGACTCAAATTGAAAAAACTGATGATAAAAATAAAGGGAAATGGTCAATTAAAAAGTCAACTATAATAAAATTAATTCAGTAAGCTTCATTTTTGGAGACCAAAGTAAATGCATGCATTTTTAAAAGATTAAGCAATTAATTTTACACCTTTACACACAATGATATGTATTACCATATATATTTCCCCCCCTCATTATGTAGTCATTATGGGTCTCATGTAGTTCAGGTTGACTTTGAATTCACTCTGTAGCCCAGGCTGGCTTCTGACTCACAGGGACCCTCCTGCCTCAGCCTTCTGAGTGCTGGGATTAACAGACACGTGCCATCATGCTTGACACTGCCTAATGTTATAAAATTAACGTGCAGAGACTTTAATTGGTAGTACTGAAATAACCACTGAAGGTAAAATCCTGGAGTTATTTTGTTTAATAGCAACATCAGTCACCACGTCAGATGCAAGTCTTAGAATTCTCTTCTGTGACTCGATACTGTGCAGTGGGTGTGGCTGGCACAGCTAAGGAGGGTGACAGAGTCTCTGTGAGGGGTGCTCCGGCAGATGTGATGGAATCGCAACCCATGGCTGCTGCTGCTTCTTTTTTGTTTGTTTTGAGACAGGGTCTTGCTATATAGTTCAGGTCAGCACTGAACTCACTGTGTAGTCCAGGCTGACCTTGAACTCATGGTGATCTTCCTGTCTCAGCTCCCCCAGTGCTGGTATTACAGGCATGCACCACCACATCCAGCTAGACCCATAGGTTTTGACATAACTCTCTCACCTGTATCATCTTTTCTTTGTAAACAGAATTTTGTGATGGAAAAACTATGACAAAATTCTGATCACTGAAAACAGGAAAATCACATGCAAAACATTTCATTTCCATGGGAAAAACAATAAATTCCAAAGAAAAGGTGGTTACATACTTACCTCACTATCCATTGCAGATTGCTGTTTTTGTGGACTTTGTGATGCTTTTTGCTAGATACCCCAAAGCCCCCCCAAAAGGAAACTAATTAGAATCTAGAACATTAGATTAAATGATAAATTTTACTTACTAGTCCCACTTATTCTGGTTTTTTGTTTGTTTGAGACATGGTCTTGTCATGCAGTTCAGTTCAGACTGGCCTTGAACCCACTATGGAGCCCAGGCTGGCCTCAGACTCATGGTGATTCTCCTGCCTCAGCTTCCCAAGTGCTGGGATTATAGGTATGTGCCATCATGCCCAGCTGTACTTATTTCTTCATTTCTTAAATACAGAGTAACACTTTTCTAGATTTATACTTAAGATGTTGGGCTGGGGATACAGCTCAACAGCACAGTGCTTGCCTAGCAAGCACAAGGTTGTGAGCTCGATTCCTGGTACCAAAAAATATATATATATATACTTAAGATGTTGCCCTTGCCTTAAGTACAGTAGCTTATAATTTAAATTTTAAAAAAAAATCTCACAACTGCATCACCATATTTTTTTTGTCTTTTTGAGACAGGGTCTTGCTATGCAGTTCAGGCTGGCCTTGACCTCACTTTGTAGCCCAGGCTGGTCTTGAACTTGCAACGATCCTCCTGCCTCAGCCTTCTCCTGAGTGCTGGGATTACAGGCATGCACCACCAGGCCCAGCATACCATATTTTTAGGCGTTTGTTTTGTTTTGTTTTGTTTTGTTTGAGACAGGGTCTCACTATGTAGTCCAGGCTGGACTTGAACTCATAGTGATCCTCCTGACTCAGCCTCCTGAGTGCTGAGATTACAGGCATGTGTCTTTTTATTGCTTTAAATACCATGCTAATGCTGACAGCTCTAGCTTTCTATTCACAGAATCTCAGGTTTTTTCAACAGACTATGCTAGCATTCTAGATGGAAACCTCACTATCAACTCACATCAACATCCACAAAGTCACAATTTCTTTCCTGTACTAACTGCTACGTCCCTCACTTTGTTGATTTTTGCAATTATGACAAATAATATCTGTGTAGTCAGTGTTACAATGTGTTTTCCGATCTGTTTTTTTTTCTGCTATGTGTTTGCGACAGGTAATAATTACGTTCCTCTTGGAGAACTGGTACATGTATACGCCAGCCACGTCATCATCATTTTTACTTCACTTTCCCCTCCTGGTCCTGCTCTCCCGCCTCATCCTTAGGTTCCCTGCCCCATGTCTGCAAAACCTGCCGCCATGTCTCCTTATTCTGTGAGATACACAAATATCATATCATGTTTTCTTAGAGATGAAAAAAATTGAGGAGTGACTGTGGACAAATACAAGGTCACCAAGTTCGTGAGTAGCATAGCTGAGATTTATACCTGTCTCCTGATGCCAAATTCTACACGCTTCCCACAACGCTAGACTCACAGCAGCTACCACACCAGTATTGTTGGGGACATACATAATAATTCTGTAATCGTTAACGTTGAACTATTAAGTAGAATACGCATGAGGAAACTCAAGGCACAAAACAGCTCGGTAATTTTTGGACAGCCAGGCACACAGTGGTGGGAAAGGGGGGTTAAAGTTCACATATTTCCCGACTGCAAGTTTCTGCCACCGATGCAACACTACCAGCTCTGTAGCAATTTCAAAACCTTCCAGTGTGATGCCTCATTTTGCAGTACCGCCTAATTACTGCAATTCCTATTCCACTTTCCTCCTCTAGCTCTTTCCTTGTGACCTGTTCTAACATGAGCAGACTACTTTGGCAGAAGTATTTCTTCTCCTGTTTTCTCCTACTTAAAAACCTTCTGCCTAGCAGATCAAGATCACCCTCTAATCTGCAGGTAGTCATGAATGTCTGCAGGGTGAGCAGCTCTTACTAGCTAGGGAACTTCCACAAAGGCGAGCTAAACATCAACTTATGTAAAACACATAGACAGCACCTGGGGTGTCTAAGCATCAGCCGTATCATTTCCCGAGAGGCAGGACTGCACTGCAGCCAGCGCAGGGTATGCAGCCCACTCACTTACCAGCTGAGTATTTAACCTTAGCCTTAGGCAGTTATCACAACAAGAAAATAACTGTATCTATTTCACAGGACTATTGAGAGTATTAAATGACTTAAAATATATAAAGCACTCAGAGCAGCACCTGGGCTATACAGTAAGCACTCAGTAAACTTTAAGTATTATTATCATCATCTTCAACATCTCAGCAATTTATTTTTTCTTTTTTCATCAACACAAACTCTAACCAAGCTGGTATTTCCTTCAAGCACCATTATTTTATTTACTTTTGGTTTTCTGAGACAGGATCTTGTTAAGGAAATCAGGCCAGCCTTGAGCTATATACCCCAAAATGGTCTCAACTTGTGGGGATATTCCTACCTCCCAAGTAAGGGGATTACAGGTGTGTGCCCCACCTTGCCCAGCTAAGTAATTTTTATAGATATATATATATATATATATATATATATATATATATATATATATATATATATATATATATATATATATATGTTTGGTATCTGGAATCAAACTCACGACTTCATGCTTGCCAGGCAGGCATTGTGCCGCTATATCCCTGGGCCCCATTATTTTAAATAACAAATTGTATGAGCTCATTCCTAGCTTCTGACTGACATCCCCTCAATCTGGAATGAACCCATCTAACTTTTCTTCCTGTACACTACCTAGCCATTCCATTTTTTTTTGTTTGTTCAAAGAAATGAGGCACCCCATTCCATTCTTGAATCTCCGAGCACCTCCTTCTGAGGTCAAGTTCTGATGATAATTGTTCCTGAACTCTTCCTTCATCTTTGATTTAAAACTAGTGTTTTACTGTAAATTGTTACTCATTGATTCATTCCTGATGTGATCTAAGTTGTCCTGTTGAACAGGACTTGTACTTTATGTATTCTTATATTCCTTGTATCGGTACATAACCAGCATTCCGTAAATGTCTATTAGATCAATAATTGAGCAGGGCCAGGTGGTGCATGCCTGGAGTCCCAGCACTTGGGAAGCTGAGGCAGGAGGATCGCTGCAAGTCTGAGGCCAGCCTGGGCTACATAGTGAAATGAAGGCCAGCCTGAACTACAAAGTGAGACCCTGTCTCAAAACAAAACAAAACAAAACAAAACAAAACAAAACAAAACAAAACAAACCACCACCCCCAAACTCAAATGAACAAGTGAACAAGTTAGGCTTTAAGAATTTTAAGTTTGTCTTAACTGTGATGATAACATTGCTTAGTCTTCCTAGAACGGTAGCTTCCTTCTCTGTGAAACATGAACATTCTCATCTTACCTATTAGAAAGATTAGATAAACCAATGAAGAATTCTGACTAGTTTTTGAGAGGCTATATAAAAAGTAGTCCACCCTTTTCCCCCCACTCCTACAGATTAAACCTAGGGCCTTTGTACTGGGCTATGTTCTCAGCCCATTTTGAAAAAAATTTTTCTTTTTAATTTTGAGACAGGGTCTCATGAAGTCACTAAAGTACCCAGGCTTTGCTGGAACTAGCAATCCTTCTGCCTCAGCCTCCCTTAAGGCTGTGATGACAGGCATGTGTCCCTACACCTGGCTATCAGCAGCTTTCTCATTAAAGCTCACAAGGCCTCACCTGACCAGTCACTAAATTATTTTTAGAGTATCAGCAATGAGTTCAAATGCCTCACCTTGATAAAGTCCAGTACAGCCTCTCTCTGAATCTTCTTGGTCCTCACTTTCTCCTCCTCGTACTGCAGGGCCGCCAGCTGTGCCTCTCTCCGAGCACGCTCCACCAACTGTTCTCTTCTCCGTGGCGGTTCCAAGTCTGTGTGTGGCAGCTGCAAAAAAGGAATCATTTTGCATGTAAAAGTGGGGCTGCTGTTTGGGTTAGGGTGTCTGAAAACACTGTCAGCAACTATATCATGTACATATGCTGTATTAACAGAGAAGACAAGTACTAAAATTTATAGATAAGTAGCAATTAATGGCAATTTGAGTATTATAAATGAAAACTATCTTAGTTTTCAAAAATCAAAATAAAAACAGCAAAAAGAAACAAACTAAAAATTACCTGATTGTGACTTGGTGATAGTGGCAAGAGAGAAGGTGGCTCTACTGGAACCCTGACCCAAAAAAAGGAAAAATCTTTTGATACCGAGACAGACATGAGGGAAGAGCCATCTTTTTATTATTAATGCAGTTTTCTATTACTCATAAGCAAGCTGTCTAGTTAACACCGCAAGAGTAACTTCATTCTGTAAACCTGAGCCTGAGTCATTAACTTAAACTGCAGCAACACTGATGTTTCCAACTCATGTTTCCGTGATGCTGCCCCTGATTATTCTACAGCCAGCCAACAACTGTCTGCGCCAGCCAGCGCTGTGCAATGGTAAGCTGAGATCACTCTCAGGTGGTATCATTTCTTCATAACATATATAACTACTATCTTCTTTGTGCGCAAACTGAGACGCTTTTACATATAAAGCCGTTTTATCCACAAAAATCTGGAGTTCAGCCGGGCATGGTGGCACATGCCTGTCATCCCAGCACTCGGGAGGCTGAGACAGGAGGATCGTTGTGAGTTCGAGGCCAGCCTGGGCTACGAAGTGAGCTCAAGGCCAGCCTGAACTGCATAGTGATACCCTGTCTCAAAAAAGACAAAAAAAAAAAAAAAATCTGGAGTTCTACAAAACCTGATAACTCTACTTATAAACAATTCCTACTCTCATTTTCAACTGATAAAGCAATTTTAATAGCAAAGTTTTATTCTTTTTGTTTTTTCTTTGTGGTAATGGGGATTTAACCCAAGGCCCCCCAATGGTACACAAGTGCTGTACCACTGAGATACATTCCAATTCTTTTAAAATTTTGAGATGAGCTCTTACTAAGCTGCCCAAGCTGGTCTCAAATTGACCATACTCCTGCCTTGGTCTCTGGAGTAGGTAGATTTTTGGTGTGCACCACCATGCCTGGCTGATTTTTATTCTTAAGAAAAAGGTGAAACCCTATTTGATGCTAAAAGGGAGGAGGAACTATTTGCTTATCAGTGTTAATTCTTATAAATTTGGGATTTTATCTTTTTCCTGAAGCTGATTTAGTGTTTTACCTCTGTAATCACATTTCTGTCTGAAACTAAAAATGGTGGAGTTGTGACTTTTTGACTTGAAATTTGAAACTCATTATTAGCCTATCAAGGTGATTTAAACACATTGAAAGTGTGCTGTATGGAAAATAAAAATAAATCCCTCAAAGCTTTCATGGTTTCCTATTGCCTACTATTTCTTCCCCCTTTAGCAGTGCTGGAGAGTGAACCTACAGCCTTGTGCATGCAGGGTGAGCATAGCACCACTGAGCTACATCCTCAGCCCCCAACTGCCTCCCACTAATAATACACGGATGTGGCAGTTTGCTGAAGTTGCTAGACTCATGTCCACCATGCTTACCCAAGATAAAATATCAGGCAGTGGAGAAAGAAGCAGTCTCAGCTTATATACAAGCCTGGGAAATAATCTCATGTCATTCACACTTGCCTCAGCCTCCCAAGTGCTAGGACTCCAGGCATGCACCACCTTGCCCTACTCATTTATTACTTCATTTATTAATTTAATAGATCTTTATGGTGCTAGGATATAGGTATGCACCACCATGTCTGGCTTCCTTGGCAAATTTTAAACATACCAGGCATCCCCCTACCTCTGGGCCCTGGCCTAGATGGTAGAATACTGTTCCCTCACTTTGCCACATTTCCACTGAAGTATCACCCCAAAACACACTGCTCGCACTCTCCTTCATCTGACACTACCACATCTTTTGCTCTGTTTTATTTTCTTTTTTGTAGTACTTAGCAGAACATAACACATATCTGTGACATGTACTTGTCTCTATTTAATGGTAAGGTCTAAGCTATCAGGAATCTGGATGAGAACCAGAACCATCTGATTGCTCAGGAAATATTGTCAGAAGGAATGGAGTAACACCATCCCCAAAGCATAGAACACAGACACATAGGAGACCAGCAACTGCAGGTGACATTTAGCCTCCCCTTCAAATCTTGGAGTTTCCTTGTGCTACAACTCACGCAGCCAGCGGCGTGCTGACAGGGAGTGATGGGAGATTAAGAAAAAACAAGACACAGAAAAAGGCTGGGACCAGGTTGGATCTGACCTCTCTGATGGAGAGGTAGTGACAACTCAGCACGGTCTGTGTCTTTATTTATACACAGCGAAAAGGGAAGTTTGCAAGTCCCAGGATGTTTGCACTCCCTGCAAGCAGCAGGGTAAGACCTTGTCTCAAAAGGCTAGAGTGGGGAGTTGGGGTATAGCTCAGCATTCCCTGGGTTCAATCCCCAGAACCATGCCATAAATAAGTAAATAAATAGACAGATAGACAGACAGATAGATAGCCAGGCGTGGTGGCACACACCTGTAATACCAGCACTTGGGAGGCTGAAGCAGGAAGATCATTGTGAGTTCGAGACCAGCCTGGGCTATAAAGTGAGCTCAAGACCAGCCTGAACTGCATAGCGAGACCCTGCCTCAGAAAGACAAAAATTTAAAAAAATAAATAAATAAATAGGACTTCTGAAAATCTTTAACACATTCACCATTGGGCCGTAATTTGTATGTCTCACTGCTGGGAGGCTTGAGACACTGGTGGTACATGCATGACTGTCCCATTGGGTGGCTTATTAATTTTACTAGTAGAAAGACAGATAAAAGTGATTAGATCTGTCTGTACCACTTGACTGAACAACCTCAGTCAAGCTAGCAAAAACATGCTCAGCCCTCTTCATGCATGAGCCCACATTATCGCCATAAAATCTCATTGCCACTAAGTACCTTCAAATCAATTAATTGTATAGGTAATAGTTTAGGTGATCTGAATTTAGAATAAATCAATTTTACCTCTATCCTATGGCATGAGCATAAAAGCACACTGTCCCTTAGCTTTAAATACATGGTCTCTAAGGTACACAGCACAGTATCTACATATCTTCATTATATATGATTTGCACAAAACCAAAACCACTTCACACCTATTACTGAGATTTAAGATGGAACAAATAAGTAGAATTGCTTTTTCAAACCTGTTTTGATATGAATATCGCCTCATATCTTCTGGTTTTTGAAACTCCCTAATGGCTGCTGGCTTTACTGGTGAACCCTAGATGAAAACAGCATAAATAAATGTAAAATGTGCACCCAGAACACTATAATTATATCACTTACATTTGACTTGACATTTAAAGATTTGTAAATTATACGAAGAGGTATTTCAATATAATCTCAAATGTGAACATGTTTAAAAGCACTGCAGGTTACATGTCATATGCTTTGATAATATTCATAATCTACATTTTATTTAAAGAACGATTTCCTTCTTGCTGTATTATACAAATTACAGTGACCCAATACAGTAATATTTCCTGAGTGGTAGGAAAGGATTTTAGAGGTCATCTGGTACAACGTTCTAAGACATCTCTACCCCAACATCTGCTCAGTTTCTCTTGAACAGCTATTGTAATTGGGAGTTCTTTAGGCAGATGATGTTTCTTTACTTTTTTACCACCACAAACTGTTACCTTAGTCACAAAACTAGTCCTGAAGATATTGGTGGGATATCAAGATAAAAACAAAAAGTAACGTTTATGTATGGTAAAATACAATGCTAATTAAAAGAGAAATATAATTAACTTATAGGCTATTTTTGAAAAGCATCACTGAGGATGCATTGCTAAGGAAAACAGCTGGATGAACCAACAGAGACCACACACTAAAAATGAGAAATCCAAGGCACAGTCTTAATGATTTGCACAGTACACACTTTGTAAGATAAGAATGTACAGAAGCAGTAAAATTTTATTTCAACACCAAAATTAATCACGATAATGGCTATTCTATAAGGGAAAAGAAAACAGCATCTCCAAAAAGAATAAAAAAAGTCAAATTTCAAACTATTCAGAGCCTACCTCCATGAAGTAAGTATATCATATATAACTAGAAAATCTTTAGCCAGTTATTCCAAAAGGCTAAAAGCTGACTGCCTTTAAGTTTGGTCATAACAAATCAGATTAAATTATTCTAATTCTGGAATCCTAATGAGAGAATAATTATTCTTAGTGACCATGTCATTCTTTTTTAATGAGCAAAAATTTTTCCTGGGATGTTACATCAATAACTTAACCATTCTGGTTTTATGATATTGCAACCACCTAAAACTGTCAGAGAAATTTTTTTTAACTGAAATTTTTGTAAAAAATAAACATGATACTGATTTAATTTAAAAATAAGTATAACATTCAGGCAGAGGTGGTATATGTATGGGAGTGGCATTATAATAAAATTAAATAATAGCAGAGCATTTAATACCTTAAATAAGTTAGTTTTTTAATAAACTTTTTTTAAAAACAGTATTCAGGAATACAAGGTATTTTTCTACTGTTTGTTAAAACATCTAAAATAATACTGCTTCATTATATTTTACCAATTGCCAAATTTTAGGAAGCTTTATGATATAAAAATCATAGAGCCTTATGTTATAGATTTATAAAACTATCATATATAAGCAACTTAGAATTTAAAAACATATTACTATAAAAAGAGTCAATCTAATGGATTAAAGAAATGGTGGCATAATTTTTCATTACAGTATAAGCATTGTGTTTTTTTGGTGGTACCAGGAATTGAACTCACGACCTTGTGCTTGCCAGGCAGGTGCTGTGCCGCTGAGCTATATCCCTGGTGCATTTTCAATTATAGTAGATACCCCATCTACACAATTTAACTATAAAATGATCAAAGACAATGATCACAAAAAAATTAAAGACTATAATGTGACACTATTAATTTTACTTTTATTGCAAAATAGTTCTTTACTCCAGCAGAGAGGCTAATAGCATGGCCACAAGGGATTCATTCGTCACCTGCCCATTACTGCCTTTGGGCCGCAGGATTTGATTTATGTAACTTTATCCAATTTTTGAACATTGTCTTCTGAACACTAACAAAAAGCACTGTGTTCAAAGCCTTCAAACAGGAAAACCGAAGGGCTCTTTTTAAAGAATGGTAACTCACACTGCAGCATGTCCCATTTGATTAATTTGTTTCTGAAAGGCTAAATACATCATTCTCCAAAAAGACCCCATGTGTTTCTCAAATAACCCCGCTCAGAGCCGGGGACAAACTGCAGACTTCAACATCACAGACATGAAGATGCTATTTTATTAGGCTATTTTATTAGCTATTTTATTAGGCTGACTCGATGCCCTGAAGAATGCTATTTTTCTTCAGACCCCGGGGGAACTGGCAGAGTCTGCAGCGGGCTGAATGTGCATTTGTTTTCCAGGGCAATTCAATTCTAGAATTTTAATAGCAAACAATTTATGTTCTGTTAACTTAGGATAAAAGCTCCAATATAATTAAGCTTATTATAAAAATTTTATGGGTAAGTTGTATGTTGTCTCAAAGTCAACTTTTTGGGCTTAATTCTTATACTAATCAATCACACCATGACTTACCAGTTGTTTTAATAAAAAAGCGAAACAAAAACAAAGACACACAATGGAAAGCATCTGCTTTCTTCATATTTTCTTCAAAGGCCTTAGGTTACTCTTTTTTACTCTTTCTTCGAAATTAGGAGATCTGTTTTCTTACTTGAAAAATAAATATAACTGGATGTGGTGGTGCACGCCTATAATCCCAGCACTTCGGAGGCTGAGGCAGGAAGATTGCTACGAGTCCCAGGTCAGCCTAGACTACACAGTGAGTTCAAGGCCAGTCTTAACACCCTATCTCAAAAAACAAAACAAAACAAAAGAACCAAACATATAAACAAAAATCTAAATTCTACTTGAGACTACTGTCTGATTTTCAAAATAAATATGAAAAATTTAGGGTTAAAAATAGAAGTAAACATTATAATGAAACAATTAGACCTAAACCTATACATTGCTGATATGAGAGAAACGTATACTGCTATGAACTGCCTAAACATGTGCTAGGGGACAACACAAGTTCAGTCTTCAGTGTGTACCACCTCATGCGAGATCCGTCGCTGTTCGATGTACGCCATGAACTGTGAGCTGAGGCTGTCGGAGTCTAGGCCCCGGAGCTGTCTTGCTTCATCCTCCTCTTCCTCTGCAGCACAGCTGTCAATGTAGTCGATCTGATCCAAGTCGTGTTCCACTGCAGACATCACACACACCAGAGAAAACACTCAAGACAGGCAATAAAAGACATTCGTTCAAATTATATTCTCTCCTTTCCCCTAACATTTTCTATTGTGAAAGTAGAAAGGACCCAAGGTTTGTCTTTATAGTCCATGGCTACTTACTCTCAAAAAAAAGTCCTCTGAAAACCTTAGTCCAAGGTTACTAAAGAAAGCTAATGGTAATTACTGAAATACAGACCTACTTCATTTCTTATTTTTTTGGATAGCTCCTCAGTTTTAAACAAGACGGTCTGACTTTGTGAAAGAGGAGAGGACTAATTTTTAATGACTGAAAAGTGCATCTTTTCTTTTCATTTTTTGGGAGGCTTAGTACCTCTTTTGGAGGTTGGGACACAGAAAACCTAACAGTCAATTCAAAAGAAAGTAAAGGCAATAAAAATTAGAAGAGTAGCCAGGCTTGGCAATGTCCACCTGTAATCCAGGCTATCTGGGAGGCTGAAGTAGGAGCATTAGCAATTTGGGGCCATCAAGGGCAACAAAGCAAAGGCCTTCTCCCCTCAATCAATCAATAAAAAATAAAGAAAGGAAAAGAAAGGGTAGGATGAAACTGGACTTGGAGAGAAAGAAAGTTATTGACTAACATTTCACTTCCTAACTTTTGTTGAACGTTTTTTTTAAAATACCATGACCAGAACAAAGATTTTCCTATTTAGAAAATTAATTGCTAAAGGTCGACCTTGTACATATTTTGCAGTAATTTGTGAATGAAAGGGAATCATTTGAAGAATTTTTTTCTTTTCAAGATGCTTCAGAGTGAAGAAAGCATATAATTAAGACAGCTGCATAATTGTTTCATCCATTAAGTTTTAGAATGTCCTACTGTTTAAAACTAATTACACTTAATAAATATTTAAAGTGGTACATTAGGAAAAAATCCTTGCTACTAGATAGTTTCTTCAGAGATGCAGTAAACCCCGATTATTTCATGATGCTTCGTAAGTTGCCTGTAAGTGCAGTTGCTGGGAATAGTGAATTTGGAGAAGTCTAGTTCTCAATTTAGTCTTCTGATTAAATTTTTTGTAGCAAATTCTAAAGCTGCAATTAATATTAAAAATAAATTTTGAATTATTAGGATTTGCTCATAGCTACCAAAGATGAAAAGGTCATCCGGGCGTGGTGGCACACACCTGTAATGCCAGCACTTGGGAGGCTGAAGCAGGAGGATCGTTTTGAGTTCGAGACCAGCCTGGGCTACAAAGTGAGCTCAAGGCCAGCCTGAACTACATAGCGAGACCCTGTCTCTAAAAAAGACAAAAATAAAAATAAAAATAAAAATAAAAAAGCAAAGATGAAAAGGTCCTAAGTCTACATCCACTTTAGAAACCAAGTATATAAATGCATTTTTTGCAATGTGCTACGATTTGACTACAAAGTTTACATTGTGACTATTTTCCAAGACAGCAACATCCCTTTTTCATACTATTTAGACTGTGCAGTCCAAGAGAAAAAAATGCAACCTAAAAAAGGGAACTACATAAGTGATTTTAAATTTGCTAGTAACTACATTAAATAAAGGTAGCTGGACGCTGGGGAAAATGTCAGTTATCCCAACTTCTTGGGAGACTGGTTTAGGGGGATTACTAGTTCAAGGCCAGTTCAAGGCCTGGGCTACCTAATATTCTGCCTCAGCATACATAAATACATATATACATACATACATACATAAGGAATAGGGATGTAGCTTAGTGTGAGGCTTTGGATTCAAGACCCAGTAATATAAAACAACCCACACCCCCACCTCCCCTCAAACAAAAAGAAAGGAAAAGATGACATTAAAAATCTTGGGTTTTTTGTACTAGGGATTGAAATGAGGGCCTTCACACTGAGCTATACTCCCTGGCCCTTTAGATTTTTTTCTTGTTTTGAGACAGGGTCTGACTAAGTTGCCCAGCCTGGGCTTCAGTCATTAAATTGCCCAGGCTGGGCTTGAACTTGTGATCCTCCTGCCTCAGCAGCTTAGAGTATTGGGATTACAGGTGTGATGCCACTATGCCTGGCTAATATTTTTTTATGTTGTCCAATATAGCTAAGTGTGATCATTTCAACATATAACTAATATGATATTATTTTATATGCATTTTTTCTTATGAAGTCTTCAAAATCTGATGTGTATTTTATACTTATAGTACATCTCAATTCAGGAAAACATTTCTTTTTCTTTTTTATTTTGAGACAAGAGTTTTATTATTAATTTAGGCTGGCCTCGAACTCAAGGCAATTCTCCTACCTCAGCCTCCTGAGTGCTGGGATTACAGGCATGCACCACCAATGCCTGGCAGGAAAACATTTCAAGTGGTCGATTACAACATGTGGCTAGTGGCTACCATACTGAAAAGCACAGATCCAGAAATTATGTCTCAAACAAACTGGAAAGATATCTTGTATGAGGACAAAATTTAAAACAAAACTAAAATTACTGAAATGTTGGTGGAATAGTTAAGTGAAAGGAATAAAGATGAATACAAAATGGCGAGGAAAAGAAAGACAGCAAGCCACTTAAAATCATCATTCAGAGGAAAGCTTTTCTCTAAAAAGCAAACTAAGTCATTTTGCTCTAATAAGCCCCTGAAACATTAGGATTTGGTGACTTAAACTAAGCCATTATGGAACAGAATGCTAAAATTAAGTTCATTTCAGAAGTACTACACAAGGAAACAAAAAGATATCTGCCTATTCTATAAAAACTGCAAAATTTTAAATGTCAGAGTAAGGAAAATATTCAGCCCTGAAGAGAACGATTGCAGTTAAAAGAAAAGATAAATATTAAGCAATACACTGAATTCCTGCAAGAGGGCAAATCATCACTTAAAAAAGGGAGAATGGTACTTCAAAGAGGTATTCCAGGTGAACTGTCTCTAATAAGTTTCCTCCCAAAATAAGAATGACAGAGATACATGTTTTACTGCAAACCTGAAAACAGAAAAACTGAAGTCTCATCCCTGAGGAAAACAACTTTTTCTGGTCCTTATATGTAAAGAAGTCTTGAAAGGACCAGTGAGAAAGCTACAGACACCCAAACAGAAGGAGTGGATGTGGAAAAGACTGCTTCAAAGAAAATTTCAGAAATTAAAAAGATTAGATGTCATTATTCTGTTTACCTCCACCATTTGTTACAACTAAACTGTTCCGATTCTCTTGGTATTGGCTTTCTCTTCGTAGTCTTTGTTCTTTAGTAATCTCAGCTACCCGAAGAGGCAGATCTGAAAATTCATCTGTAGGCTTAAAAAAACAGTAGAAACGTTAAAAAATTTATCCTCAATTTTGGCCAACATATTTAAGTATGGGCATAATATAAGCTAGTTAAAATTAACATTTAGGAAGAAATAGCAAAGTTATTTTTGGCTTCTGGTGCTGGGACTGAACCCAGTGCCTTATATATGACAGGCAAGTACTCTACCACTGAGCTGCATTCCCACTCCTGCAAAAATGTTTTGGAAGTGGACAGCAAAGACAGACAGACACCAATGTGAATGTATTTAATGCAAGTGCAACAGACTTTTTTTTGGAGACATCCTCCTGTCTCAGCCTCTCACGTACTGGGATTACAGACACGTGCCACCATGCCCAGAGAAATGAACACTTAAAAAAGGTAAAAATGGTAAACTCTGCTGTAGATATTCTGCCACAGTCAACAAAGAGAAGAAATAAGGGCATTCATGACTTTATAATTATATACACAAGACCGGGGATATAGCTCAGTGGCACAGTACCTGCCTGGCAAGTGCAAGGTCCTGAGTTTGATTTCCAGCACCAAAACAAACAAATTTACGCAGATTTGTGATCTACGTACATGTCTCTATGGGCACAGTCACCCAGATATATGTATACAAGCCATTCCAAATTATAAATAGGCTGATTTAAATTTAATTTGCTTTGGACTCTCAATGAAACAACGTTAGAAACTGGATGCTACCAATCTTGCTAAGAAAAAGCTTATTTAATCATTTAATCCAATTTAAGGCTTAGTGATTTTAAAAAGCAGAAAACATAGTAATTTTTTTTTTCTTTTGAGGCACAGCCTTCCTATGTAGTCTAGGCTGGCCTTGAACTCACAGTGATCCTTCTGCCTCAGCCTCCTGGAGTGCTGGGATTAAAGGCATGTGCCACCATGCCCAGCTCAATAATTAAACACAAACAAAAAGCAATCTGATTTTGACGTGTGGATAGTCTTTTTCTTCTTTTCTTTGCTCACAGGAATGTGGATATTCTTTAGCAGGTTCACATCTCTACCCACCAGCCTAGAGTCCTATTTTCCCTTGCCTTCCAGCATTCCTTCTACCTCCGCTCCAGACTACCCAGACTTCAAACTGTAGGGTTCAGTTAAAACTGACAGTTCCTGTTTGCCTTCCAGAACACAAAACTATTTGTATGAGACAAGGAGATAATAAGCATACAAAATAGACATGGTAAAAAGATGGTACTTTTTCTTTTCTTTGGTGGTATTGTGGGTGGAACCCAGGGCCTCACACGTTAGGTAAACACCCTACCACCAAGCTACATCCCCAGCCCCAGAATACTATTTTTGGGTGGAAGGATTACATGGGATTTTTGTCCCTGTCTTGACTTTCCTGTATTTTATGCGCTAAGAAACCTAATCCAACCAGGCTCTTCCCCCTTCACCATTTTCTTTTCTCTTAATCAGGAGTCCACCACACAGAAGAGACACTCACCTCGTTCCCTGACCATCTCTTATCGCCACTGTCCACACTATTGAAACCTGAATCGAGAGCTCCATAGGGGCGGCCTGAGTATAGTTCTTCATGGCTGCCAGAAAGAAACTAGCTTTTACTGTAAGTCTGATATCTTCACTTGATCTTAGCCAAAGGTTGAGAAGCGATTTTAAAGTCTTATATCTTAAAATGTAAAATAAAACAGATATAATTTTATTAATAAACATCTCATGGTACTTAGTCCTTTATTGTAATTTGAATACATTCAAAAGCACAGATCTCAGCTGCACAATTGTGACAAATCACTATATCCCTGTCTCTCCACCTCTGTCACATGAAGGTATTTCTACTTCACCAGAAGGTGCTTGCCATTCCTCCCGGTCAAATCCCCTTTGTGCTGCCACTGCGTGCTTCTCAGGGAAAATCCCTGCTGATTTTCTTTTAAATTATTAAATTAGTGCAGAAGGCTGAATACTGGCCCCTAAAAATAGCCACAACCTCATCTCTGGAACTTGTATGTCACCTCACATGGCAAAGGGAATTAAGGTTGTAGATAGGAATAAGGTTGCTGGTGAACTTATTTTTAAAAATGGAGATTATTGCCAGGGATATAGCTCAGTGGCACGGCACCTGCCTGGCAAGCACAAGGTCTTGAGTTCAATTCCTGATACCAAAAAAAGGTATGTTCTAAAAAGGGAGATTATCTTGGTTTTAGAGTGAGCCCAATGTAATTGGAAATGTCCTTGTATTTGATTTTGCATTTGATTTTGGTGCTCCAGCCTCCACCTCACAGATCTCCTTCCTTAGCCTCCAGAGTGCTGCTTACAAGTGTCCTTAAATGTGGAAGAGGGACGCAGAACAGGGCAGTGTGATGCAATGCTGGCCTGACGATGGAGGACGGGTTCTGTGAGCCAAGGAGTGCAGACAGCCTCTGGAAGCTGAGAAAGGCAAGAAGAGGGCAGAAGAGGATCCAAGCCAGAGCCCACAGAGAGGGCACAGCCCTCCCAGCACCCTGGTTTAGCCCAATGGCATTGTTCAATTTCTGACCTACAGAATTTTAACAAAAAACTTACACTGTTTTAGCACCTAAATTTGTGGTAATTTCTTATGACAGTAATAGAAAATGAGTAAAATTAGTTTTGTTTATTCTAGAATTTAGAAAGATGATATCAGGTACTGTATGTGGCTTAATTTTTAAAAATCCATTTTCTATTGATAGACAGTTGTTTCATTTTTGGCTGCTATGAATAAAAGTGCCAAGAATATTAGTGAATAAATCTTTGTAAGAGTTTGCTTTCATTATTCTGTGTAAATAACCCAGAATAAAATAAATGGCTTATATGTAAGTTTAGGTTTAACTTTAAAAAAACTTATCAACCTGTTTTCAAAAGTAGCTATGTCATTCTGCCTTCCTCCCAGCAATGTATCCAGGTTCTAGCTGCCAACGCCTCCATCCTGAGCCTTTAATTTACCCATTCTGTGAGTACCGATAGTTGTCTGTCTCAGTACCTCACTGCGCTTTTCATTTATGCTTCTCTGATGACCAGTGATGTTGAGTAGTATCTTTCTGGTATGTTTACTGGGATCATTTAGTTTCTTTTATTCAATGTCTGCTCAAATCCACCTCTCATTTTAAAATTACAGTATTATTTTTTTGAGACAACTTTATGGGTTTTTAGTTTCACCAAAATTCAAAACCTCCAATTTTAAAAACATGTCAAAAAATGAAGATGGGTTACAGATTGACATCAATATTATTCCCCATTTTAAAAATTCAACGATAATGCCTCTCAAAAATGTTTTGCTACGCAAAAGAAGTCAGACTCAAAATGTTTCACACTCTGATTCTGTTTAGATAAAGTTCTAGAAAAGCAAAACTCTATTGTCATAAAGCACATCATGGTAGCTTGACACTGGGGTAGAGGGACATGCAGGTAATGGAACTGTTATATATATATTGCCTGTAGTTGTGCTTTCTTAGTAACTATATATATACACATATATATAATTTTTTTTTGGGGGGGGGGTGTCTTTTTGAGACAATGTCTCACTATGCAGTTCAGGCTGGCCTTCAGCTCACTTTGTAGCCCAGGCTGGCCTCGAACTTGCAACGATCCTCCTGCCTCAGCCTCCCGAGTGCTGGTGTCATAGGCATGCTCCACTGCACCCAGCTTAATAACTATTAACTTACCAAAACTAACTGAAATGCACACTCAAAACAGGTAAATTTTATTGTTTGTAAATTATCTCAACAGAGTTGTTACAAAATCCCACAAAAGTGCTAAACTATTTCACATAGTGGACATACCATGCTTTAAGCAATGTATGAGAGCACTGGTTGATGCCACATCCTCACCAATAATTGGAGGGGTCAGTTTTCTTAATTTTTGTCATTCTAGGGGATGTGTGACCTAATCTGCATTGATTTCCTATGATGACCAATGACACTGACTACTTTTCTGTGTGTTACTATTTATATCTCTCGGGGCTGGGGATTTAGCTCAGCGGCACAGAGCGTGCCTGGCAAGCGCAAGGTCATGAGTTTGATTCCCGATACCGGAAAAAAAACCAAAACCAAAAAAAAAAAAGAAAGAAAAAACTATTTATATCTCTCTTTGTGAAGAAGTCTGTTCAAGTCTTTTGTTCGTTTTCCATAGGCTCTGTGTGTGTGTCTGTGTGTGTGTGTGTGTGTGTGTGTGCGCTCATGTGTATGTGAATGTGCGTTTGTGACTTAACCCAGGGCTTTGCACTGAGCTATGTCCCTAACCCCTTTTCATTATTATTTTTTTAAATCTTAAACTGGGCTCAAACTTGCAATCTTCCTGTCTCAGCTTCCTTGAGTGCTAGGATTACAGGCATGTGCAACCACATGCAGCTTGGCTTATTTCTTTATCGTTAAATTGTAGGTATCTGGATACAAGCTAGTGGTCACATCTTTATTTATTTATTTGGGACAGGTCTCAGTAGGTAGGCCAGGCTAGCCTTGAACTCACTATTTAGCCCAGGCTGGATTTGAACATGCAATCCTCTTGGCTCAGTCTCCTGACTGCTGAGAGTACAGGTGTATAAGCACCACAACTAGTGATAGAGCATTACAAGTCACGAAGTCTATTTTATTTGCATTTAGTTCATCAAACATTTATTGAATGCCACATAGTGTTCCGGGTGCTAAGAACATACGTATGAATAAAGCATGGCCACTGCTTTCAGGAACTCAGGCTTGTTGGGGAGAGTTCATTCCACTGGTGGGGTTACAGAGGCAGGACTTTTCCTATCAATGCCTTAGTCTCTCCTCAGTTTCACTGCCACATCATCGTAAATTAATGTAGTTAGTCTGTAACATAAAGCTGCTTAAAATCAGCAAAAAGCATTAGTCCTGTAAGTCATTAATCAAAAATACTGCCACTGTAAAACAAAGATTATCACAACAGTGCAATTGACTAAAGGGGTTGGAAACATTTGTATCTGGAAACGAATTAAAAATCTGAAATCTTTATGAAATGATTTGTAGAAAATTTTGCCTTTTTATATTATATAAAAATAGAAAGTTACACGTAAAGATTGAAAGTGCTACAGTGTCTAATGTATACTGAACATCCAAAGAGTTATAGGATTACTAAATATTGTCTTTTGCAAGGCTAGATTCTCTTTAAGTTGGTCCTGGCCTAATTATTATGCCTAATGTTTATATATGGCTTTATGGCATGCTAAGTTCTTTTGCCACAGGTCAATTGATTCTCAGAAAAAACGTTGAAGTAGAAATGCTGTACACATCATATGGAAGAAAGTAAAATTTGGAGGTTAAATGAACTGACTGATACTACAGGGAGCCAAAACCAAGACCCGCTAGCTCCATGCCAGCATGACAAATAATTGAACAACTAACTACTATGCGGTTCTACTGATCTACACCTTGGTTAAGTAAGACTTAAAGGTACAATATATCATTCACTGGTGCTTAAGGAGTTGAAAGAATTATTATTATATACACTGTTGTCCCCTAACATTCAAGAGGAATTGTTTCAGGTTATCCCACAGATACCTAAATCCAGGGATCCTCTACACACAGCTTCCTGTACAATATGTATTGGAGAAAGGATCTTGCTGTGTTGTCAAGGCTGACCCCAAGTTCCTAATCACAAAGCTTGTTAGCAGCAGAGCTAAGGTTAGTATTCAAGTCACTAACACTAATGGATTTCAACTGGCCCCTCACCAGAGGACACTGGCAACGTCCAGAGACATTTTAGTCTGTCACTCTGGGAGGGTGCCAAAGGCACATCATGGATACAGGCCAGGGATGCTGCTGAACTTTTTACAAGAGGATTGTGCTTCACACAAGAATTATCTGGTCTAAAAAAATATCAGTAGTACCAACGTTGAGAAACTCAGACTGAACTGCACTTCATCAGATCTATGTAACTGATTTTACATTTAACACAGACATTCAGAGAGTAACATGTTAAAGCAGATTATTTCTCTACAGGCAATAATTCAGGCAAATTTAAAGACCCAGTTGATCTGATTCTGCATGTGAAGGAATACGGCAGATCAAAAATATAGAACATACGCACCAGGAGCCAAAGCCCAATGGCCTCCTATCATAATCCGGCAGGTCTGGAGCAATCTTACAAGCTTGCATGTTCAGGTATTTAAATATGTGGATCTTGCCTTTTATGCAGATCTAAATAAAACAGCATACAAATGCAACCAAATGATTACCCATCTGAAGCACACATATTCTTTTTTGTAAAATTATAGCCAGCTCTTTACACAATATAAATTGGGGCTAGAAAAACATTTGTTTCTATTAAGTATGTAGTGTAACATTAACAAAATTAATTCTAGCCAGGTGCAGTGACCCACACCAGTAATCCCAGCACTCTTTGAGAAGCTGAGACAGGAGGAATACAAGCTCAAGTCTCATTTGGGCAACTTAGCAAGACCCTGTCTCAAAATAAAAAATTTAAGAAAGGGCTTGCGGGGGCTGGGGATTTAGCTCAGCGGCAAAAAGTGCCTGCCTGGCAAGCGCAAGGTCGTGAGTTCGGTTCCCGGTACCAGAGAAAAACCAAAAAAAAAAAAAGAAAAAGAAAGGGCTTGGGATGTAGATCACTGGTAGAGTGCCCCTGGGTTTAATTTTTCAGTTTCATTTTAAAAAAAAAGGAAAAAATATACACACACACTGTATGTATAAAATTTGGTTCTGTGCTATTTTAGGTATTTAGCTAGTAAATATATTTTTGTTTTCTAGTCACTAGTACATTTTAGTAACACAGAAACAATATATATTACAAACTGTTAGAATAAGAAGTACATTTATTTCACTATGCATCCTCAGGAATTTAGAAACTTCTTTCTGATACATTATGCTGACAACTTTGGATTTCAGAAATCTAGTAACTGTATATATGCTTTGAACCTGCTTAAAGGCAACCTGAAGCAGGAAATGACAACGAAGTTATATATATGTTTCTGTTACTATCTGTCCCACAAGTCTAAATGAATTCCTTAAATTGATGAAATTTAAATGTAAGTTTTACAGACACTATAAAGACTATAGGCTTGTATAAAATCGTCAATAAACTGCACAGTTTAAAAAATAGCTACAGTGAAAATTATGGGCTGGTAAACATTTTATAGACTGTAGGATGTCCAGAATCTCTATGTAAACCTACCTTATAATTATGTTATTACTAGTTTCATTACTGTCAAATGAGTAAACTGGCTAACTAAGGAATTTACGATTTTAGAAAACAGAAAGGACAAAAAACAATGGTAACAAGAATACATTGATAATCTTTACTTTGGAAAGGTATTTTTATTTGTCTCTAGCCTTAATGTTCTTTATATTCAATTTTTACTAGAAGAAAATTAAGGAAAGTTAATTCTTCTTCTTCTTTTTTTTTTCTTGATATTGGTGATCAAACCCAGTGCTCTACCCTTAAGCTACATCCCCTCAAAATAAATTTCATTTTGAGACATTCTCACTGAGTTGCCCAATCTAGCCTCGAACTTGTGATCCTCTTGCCTCAGCCTTCTAAATTCAAGCATATGCTGCCATGACTAGCTCAAATTTTATTAAAAAAACAATTTCAGAATTTCTCAAATTAAAAATGACAAATTAGTGAAAGGAAAAACATTCTGGGGCTATTATCCCTCTTCTACCCCATTTATTCAAAGCTTTGATAGAATATGAAATATGTGAAATAATTTTCAAAGAACTTAATTTACAACAGAAAGATAAATGCACATTATTACATTTTATCCTTTGTCCAAAAAAAAAAAAAAAAAAAAAAAAAGTCCACAACCTGTTTGCACTGTGGTTTACCTGTGCAGGAGGTGACTGGAGTGGGTTGTTATCTAAGGTGATCACCTGCAGGTGCCTGAGGTTCCGGTAACAAACAGGGATTGCTGTGATTTTATTGCAGGAGAAGTCTAAACGTATCAAAGGCAACTCTGCAAGTTCTGCATGAGGGGTAAATGAAAATGAAAAATAATGATATTTTAGAGCTACACAATTTTTACATAAACTTCTAGTTAAATATGGTGGATTGAATAGGTATTTACTTAGATTCTTGGTGACTAACTGATGTAACAGTACTGTAAATTAAAATCTAATTATCTACAGATAATACCAATAAAAATCAAGCAGCTTGATCCTACAAAAAGCACAGAAAGCCAGGCATGGTGGTGCATGCCTGTAATCCCAGCACTCGGGAGGCTGAGGCAGGAGGATCATTGCAAGTTCGAGACCAACCTGGGCTACAAAGTGAGCTCGAGGCCAGCCTGAATTGCATAGCGAGACCCTGTCTCAAAAAGACCAAAAAAAACCAAACAATCAAAAAAAAAAAAAACAAAAAAGAAAACCACCAAAACAAAGGCACAGAAATTCTCAGAAGCTGGAGGCCCCAATATGACAAAAAGGTGATCAGACGACAGTCTATATAAGAGCAGTTAGATGTCTACCCTCTCCAATACCTATAGGCGTCACAAGCTATTCTCTAGAGAAAATGCATCAAAAGGGCTCTCAATGCAGGAACCCCAGGACCAATGTAAAGGCAGGAAAAAAGGAAGGATTTAGATTGAAGTCTCCACACTGAAGGGTCATCCTTCAGTGCCTTCCACTGCAGCGCACCTCACCCCACATTTTGAAGGCCAGCAGTTAGGAATTCACATAATAACATGGGAGAAATGGAGACATTCTCTGAAGAAATTATGCAGTCGCATACAAAAGGCCTTTAGATATCAACAGGAAATTTCTGAAAATAAGACAGCCAGCTTGCTTCTTAATTATCCTTCTACAATTTCTGCCCAGTATACTCAGAACTTTTACTCTATTGCAATCAGACAGTATATGCTCCACAGAAATTTTAGAGAAGTCTCCAACAACACATATGACAGAAATCAAAACCAACTAACCAACAAAAAAAGGAACTAGAAAAAAGGAGTTATTATTATTATGTTTGTTTTGGAGATTAAACGCAGGCTTTCACATGGGCTAATTTTAAATTTTAAAACAAAGTCTTGCTAACTTGCCAAATTGCCTAGACTGAGCTCGTCAAATTTGGTGATTCTCCTGCCTCAGCTTCTCAGAATTTTGGGATTATAAGTGTATAAGTAGCTGTATATAAACAAAAGGAAAATTTGAAAAGCTGGAATTAGTATTACTAATTTTAGAGAAATAAGATATCAAATCACTAAAATATAGAAAGGATTTTTTTAGGCTGGGCGTGGTGGCACACACCTGTAATCCCAGCACTTGGGAGGCTGAAGCAGGAGGATCCTTGCAAGTTCGAGACCAGCCTGGGCTACAAAGTGAGCTCAAGGCCAGCCTGAACTGCATAGTGAGACTCTGTCTCAAAAAGACACACACACACACACAAAGATTTTTTTTAAAAAAGACTTATAAGAGTTTTTACAAATAAAAAATCTGACTGCATAAACAAAATTCAGAACGAATTTCTAAAATTAAAAATGCAAGAATGGTTGGAACTATTTTACTAGGAAAGAGAAAGGAAGGAACAATAATAAAGAAAAAAAATCAAAGATATCTAACATTCAATTATAAAATATGGGCCGGGTGTGGTGGCGCACACCTGTAATTCCAGCACTCGGGAGACTGAGGCAGGAGGATCGTTGCAAGTTCGAGGCTAGCCTGGGCTACAAAGTGAGCTCAAGGCCACCCTGAACTGTACAACGAAACCCTATCTCAAAAAGACACACACACACACACACACACACACACACACACACACACACAATAAATAAATAAATAAATAAATAAATAAATAATAAAATATGGACAGAGGAAGAGGGGAAATTATCAGAGAGGTCTAAGACCTCTGAATACCACCAAGTACCCAGCACAAGTTAAAACAATTCCTACTGTGTACATCACCATAAAAGCTCAGAGCAGCAGGAATAATGGAAAGATGTTAAAATCTGCCAGAGCGAAGATGTTGGTCACAAAAGAAAATTACAAATAGCATACTTCTCATCACCTATTTTTAACACTGAAAGCTAAAATGAAAAAAGACATACTTAAGAGAAAACAGTTTTCAACCAAGAATCTATATACGAATTATCAATCAAGCAACAGCACAAACTAAAGATATGTCTTTTCAAGTAAAGTCTCAAAAAAATGTTCTCATGACGGCCTTCTCAGGAAGTTACTAGAAGATGTCCTCCAAGAAAACAGAAAGTAAACAAAGAAAAGGAATTATGTGGAGTCCAGGAATGAGACTGTTCAACATGAAAGCAAGCAAGCTGGGGAGGACCACTACAGAACAGCTGCCCAGATGAGAAAGACGAAGAGAAAGAGAAAGAAGAGGGAGATCAGCAGGGAAAAAAAATAAGATGAATTATTAACAGCAGAACACAACAACAAAATATGCAAGAAAAAAAATGAAATAAGAGTACATCACTTGAACTCTTAGGAAATAATGTTTATACAGCTAATGTAAACACTGGGTGATGATTTAATTAAGTTTTTCTTAGCTTTTTGATGCAGTACTAGTGACTGAACCCAGGGCCTGGTGCCTGTTGGGCAAGCACTCTACCAGCACCAAATTAATCAAAAGTTGTGATAAAACCACACTGGAAAGATGGGACAAGGGAAGTAAAGGTATAATACAGTGATCGCGGAAGGAAATAAAACCCTTATCTATTAATGAATATAAATGTCAAATTTAAGAAGTGTACCAGTAAATATCAGCAGAAAGAATCAGTTAATGAAGGTAGATGGCTTTAGCCATTAAACGGGTGTGGGGAGATCTGAAGAAGGGGAATATTATTATTTATTTTAGGTAGTTCTTGAATGATGTACCATATTATTTAGTAAAAATTAAAATTAATTTAAAATCAAAATGAAGGACTGGGGGTTTAGCTCAGCAGTATAGCACCTGTCTGGCAAGTGCAAGGTCATAAGTTCGATTCCTGGTACTAGAAAAAAAAAAAAAAAAAAAAAGAAAAGAACTGTCCAAAACTAAAATCAAAATGACAAGATAATAGCTATAACATGTTATCTACCAAACTTCATTATGTTTAAGATTAACATGAACTTGTGTGACTATTAGAAAAAAAGTCTTGCTAGCTCTGTGTATGCTGATATTACAAAACAGCTGTGAAAAAAACACTTAAAAACTACCCGTGAGATTCATAATTTTCTTGTTTATAGTCAAAATAATATTTAGAAATAAACTTGAAGATGGAACTATTATGCCATATTGTAACTGTCATCTGAAACCCCCAATTTTCATTTTTATCAAAAACTGTTTCCATTAATTCTCATGTTAGTAAATCTTATTACATAAGTAAGACACTTTTTTTTTTTTTTGGAGACAGGTTCTTGCTATCTAGTTCAGGCTAGCTTTGAACTTATGTAGCCCAGGCTGCCTCAAACTCTCAGTGATCCTCCTGCTTCAGTCTTCTGTGTGCTGGGGTTACATGTGTGCACATGCCACGCACTGCTTACATGAGTAAGGCTTTAAAGATCACCGAGGGGGGTGCGGCTTCCTCTAGATAACCTTAGAATGGATTTGGGGTTAAAGGGTCATATGTCATGATCTTTGTTCTAGTCACATTCTTGAGCTGTAGCAAAACCCAGGAGGAAATGACAAAGGCCCTGAAGATAAAAGGTGTGGAGGTTCCTGAACAAGTTTCATGAAAGGAAAATCTATGGATAGTGTGGTAGTGGTAAGTGGATAGAAGTGAAATAGGAAAGTAATTTTCTCACATGTTTATTTGGGATAAAAAATGTCAAATGTACACTTTTTTTTTTTTTTTGTCTATTTGAGACAGGGTCTCACTATGCAGTTCAAGCTGGCCTTGAACTCACTTTGCAGCCCAGGCAGGCCTCAAACTCTCAGTGATTTTCCTGCCTCAGCCTCCCATGTGCTGGGATTAAAAATACATTTCTATGTTAGACTAAGTATGATACTAGATTAAAGTGGTTTACATGATTAGATTCTATAGTGAAAGCAAAATGTCATTACTTATTTATTGTACATTATAAAACATTTGGAAGAACACAGAATACTGCCATGAAAATAATTTCTGAACATTTCTTATCTTTTAAGTATACATTCTAAAGGATAAACTAGGGAAAGTGGGTAAGAGTACAAATTAAACAAGAGTTGCCATGAACTAATAACTAGCTACAGAGAGGTTTGTTTCTCTCATTTATATATGAAATTTTCTATAATAAAAAATTTTAAATACACAATCTAATAAAATAATGGTTCTTCCCATTCTTACTTTCATTTATAGCTTTCTTCATGAACTTGTACATGTGAAAGATTGATAAATTCATTTGTCTGTTTATTTATTTTTGAGACAGGGTCTTGTTATGGTCCAGACTGGCCTTGAACTCAAACTCAAACTCATGGCAATTCTCCTGCCTCAGCCTCTCTGCGGGCAGGCATTACAGGCATGTGCCACCACACCCAGCTTGTTTAACCATTCCTGCATTCAGATATAAGCATGACAGTTTACAGTCAGCCTAAGATAGCAAGTCTCCCGATGCAGTCTCTCCCCTCATTCATTATTCACTCTACATAGATCACTTCACCTCTAGTCAAGGGTGAAGTTGATTTAGCTCAAAAGTCAGTATTGACATTTTTAAGTCAGTACTGGCTGTAGGAATGTTTTTCATTACATAAGACTACTCCCTTATTATAACATTACATTTCTCAGATAGCCTGTTGCTAGACACAGGTGCAAGTCTCTCGGTCCTTCTTTTCAGTCCTGGCCTTCCTTCCAGCCGTCACACCTCAGTGAAAGGAGTCACTGGTGAGGAGGTAATAT